TGCAAAATATTAATAACCTCTTAAATAAATCCTTTAGCCAAACCCAGTCAACAAGGAAGATTTAACCATCAAGGTGTTTTTCCCTTATTGCTTTTAATATTTTTGGTTTGGTATGCTTAAAAATGAACTTTGGTATTTGATATTTTGGGGTATAGGTTATTTACCTGTACACATGTATGGTCACTACTTACATGTCTGGAGCCTGAGGCCAGAGGAAGGTATTGGATCCCCTGGAACTGGAGTAACAAAAGGTTGTGAGCATTCATGCAGGTGCTGGGAAATAAACCCATGTCCCCTGGAACAACAGCCAGTGCTGATAACTGCTGAGATCCCCAGCCCCTTTGCTTTATATTTTTGGCATCTTGGTGATATGTCATAGAGATATTCTTTCCCCTTTATGTCTGTTTAGAGTAAAATGCTTCTTGTGTTTGGATGTCAATTTCTCTGGATTTGGGGAATTTTGTTACAATTGTATTGTATATCTTCTATAGACAGAAGTTTCTGTCCCACCCAGTCTTGCAGCCATTCAGTCCCAAATAAACTCACAGAGGCTTATATTAATTATAAACTGTTTGGCCTATTACTCAGGCTTGTTACTAACAAACTCTTACAACTTAAATTAATCCATAATTCTTTTTTGTTTGTTTGTTTTTTGAGACAGGGTTTCTCTGTGTAGCTTTGTAGATTAGGCTGGCCTCGAACTCACATAGATCGGCCTGCCTCTGCCTTCCGAGTGCTGGGATTAAAGGTGTGCATCACCACCACATAATTCTTGTTTATGTTTAGCCATGTGGGTTGGTACCTTTTCTCTTATCTTGTTTCCTCTGTGTCTGGCTGACAACTGCATCTCTGCCTTTCCTCTTTCCAGAATTCTCCTAGTCTGGTAGCCCCACCTATACCTCCTGCCTGGTTACTGGCCAATCAGCATTTTTAAAACCAATATAAGTGACAAATCTTTACAGTGAACAGGAGCATTATCCCACATCAATCTTCTTTACGTTTTTAGTTTTTATTTCAGATAATTCTATTCTGTAGATTCTTAGAGTTTGGTCTCTTCATTATACACTTATTGGACATTGTGGTGCATTTTTTCATCGTTAATAGCTTCATTTCTTCAACTTTGTCCTTCATCTTCACTATTCTTTCTTCTAATTTGTCAAGCCTATTAGTGATGATTTCCAGTTTGTTTTATATCTTGTTCACTGAGATTTTTATTTTCAACATTTTTTAGTGTTCTCCCATAGCCTCAATTTTCTTGTTGATTTATCACATTGTTGATTTTTTTGTCCATATTGCTTACTGTCTAATTTTCCTCACCATTTTTCTTTATGCTGCTGACTTTCTTCTCCATGTACTAGATTGAATTCATCTCCCTGTAGATACCATCATTGAAGACACTGATAATTTTTACTAGTAAACATTGAAATCACCATCTGGCATTTTACCTGTTGAATTCAATAGTTAAGGGCTTTTGGAGGAATCATGTTGCCTTAGTTTTACATGCTACTTGTGTTTCTGTGTTGTGATTGTGCATTTGTTGACTTCGATATTCCTTTTGGTTGTATTTTGGGATCTTCTTATTGAGCAGCCTTTGAGGGTTTATTATTTATGTACAGGTAGGGGAATTAAAATGAACTAATATAATAGAAAAAACAACAAACTGTATGCAATATAGAAATGCATTTGAGTTGATTAGAACTCATTAATTCATTATCAATGACCATAAAATAGCCAAATTATGTGTATTAGTCAGGGTTCTCTATAATAATAGAACTTATAGAATAAAGTAGATTTATTAGAATGATATACAGGTTGCAGTTCAGCTAATCCAACAATGACTGGCTATAAATGGAAAGTCCAAGAATCTAGCAGACATTCAGTCCACATGGCTGGATGTCTCAGCTGGTCTTTAGTATATGCTGGAATCCTGAAGAAGTAGACTCTAATGCCAGTGAAGGGTTGGACTTTCTAAAAAGGTGAGGGCAAGCAGGCAAACAGCAAAAGATTCTTTCTTCCATATCTTCTGAGTTGCTTCCCACCTCAAGATCAGGATTAAAGGCTTGTCTTTTGCTAGCCCTTTCTTCTCACCTCAAAGATCTGGATTAGAAGTGGATCTTTCTACTTCAAATTAAGCAAAAATTCCACACAGGTATACCCTCCATTTTTGGGTTTTGGATAATTCCAGATGTAGTCAAGTTGAAAACCAAGAATAGCCATTGTATTGTTGTCTAAGAAGTTAAAAATTATGTAGTGTATAGAAATAGTAAATGAATGATAGGAAGTAGATAGAGAACAAGGGAAAATATGGAAGTTATGTTAAAGAAAAGAAAGGAAAAGAAATAAAATTTGTTATGGAAGGAGGGAGAAAAACAACAATAGGATTTCCCATATGAGAAAGCTGGAATACAAAACTAGGCAAATGTAAGAAGAGGACTAAAAAATAAAAACTTGAGAGTTGGGCTTATGAGATGACTCAGCAGGTAAATGTGCTTGTTATGCAAGATGGCAACCTAAGGTCAGTCCCTGGTATGTAAAGGTAAAAGTAGGCAGCCAGTTTTATAAAATTGTCCTCTGATCTTCACACATGCACTGTGGAATGTATACCCACAGTCATCCTGCACACTCATACAAATTAAGTGTCTACAAAATAAACCACAAAGCAAAGTTATACTACCAAAGAGTATAGTAGAAAGAAAAAAAGAGGTGTGAAACCACAGGGTTCAGAAAGAAAAAAAGGGGGAAGGGAAAACAGATTGTTCAATAATGAAAAATATGTGCAAACAAAATTAGATGAATGTAAAAGGGTACAATTTGTGGAGTATTAGACAGATAGTATCAGCTGAACATGTGAACTTTTATCATTCCTGTGCTTTTTGCTGCTGTTAAATTGAAAACTGTTTTTTTTCACTTTAGTAGCTTTTATATTTTGTATAATAGGTTTTTCTGCTGAACACTCATAACTTTACAATTTGTGGGCTGGACAGGCTCTCCCACCTGGCCAATATTCTTCATATTGTAATTTCTGGGATGACTAATTTTATACCTAACGAATATCTCCCAAGTGTGTTGGAAGTATGGGAAACACTCATAGCACTAAGATCTATTATAGGGAGAAAGATATGTCTTTGTGCTTTCAAGACTCTCTACTTACCATCCTAATGAGGTAATGCAGCCATGGATTTCAAGTAGACCCCTAGAGCTTCTCAGTTCTCAGAAGTGAATGACAGTATGTGGCTCCAGAAGTTGTTGTATCCACTGACCTGTGATGGGTGAATGTCCTTCTGTATACTGTGAATATGTTTCTCTTATAGATTGGTGAACAAAGCTGTTTTGACCAATGGACATGCAGGATTTATCCAGGCAGGAAATCGGAATAGAGATAGAGAAAGGTAATGGATGGAGTTGGAGAGCTGCCATGTAGCTGCCTGGGAGGCAGGATCTATGGGCATTACCAGTAAGCAAAGGCTAAGTGGAGATACACTTAAGTTAATAATTAAGAGAGAGCTAGCCAGCAAGAAGCCTAAGCAAATAGCCAAAAATTATATTTAGATATTAAGTCTCAGAATGGTTATTTCATAGCGACTGTGGGGACCCCATTGGAGAGAATTCAGTCCAATAGGACTGAGAATAGATGAGAAAATCTCCCAACAGACCTGCAGCTCAGAACTACCATACTCCAGGTTTATTCACAGGTGGGGCGTGTTCCTGGCCACTGAGGGAGAAGATATTTTTCCCTATTAAGCTTACTGAGGTGAGCTTCTTGTCCGTTTTGACTTGTTAGTGTTCAGCAATTCCACTTCTCGCAACTGCCTCCAGAGTTGTCTCTCATGAGGCATGTTGAATTTAGGATCCTTGGTTTATGATTGTTTCCTGTTCTCTTGCCCACAGGGTAGCTCAGGTTTTAAGTTTTCTTAGGGTGGCACTAGGCCACTGCTCTGAAGAGTTACAGAGTAGCAAAATGGTTTTCCTCTTCCCGCCTGATCCATCCAACAGAGGAATCGCTGCCTCACCAACCTACAACAGAATTTGAGGTTTGAGGGCTATGGGAGTGTTCTGAAGGGTATTTTTCTCTATGTGGCCTAGATTACCTCTTAAAGGAGGTTTCTGCTTCTCTTCCCCCTGCCAGAGAGTAATGAGGGTGGAGCGTTGTTCAGCTTGGCTTCTTTGCAGTGTACCAAACATCTCTTTTCCAATTTTTAAGATATCCTATTGCTCTGAGACAACTGACCCAAGCTAGTGGGAGCTCACAGACTATGCAGACAGCTGGGGAACCTGCATGGGACTGAACTAGACCCTCTGAAAGTGGGTGACATTAGTGTGATTTGATCTGTTGGGGAAGGGGCACTGGCAGTGGCACCAGGACCTATCCCAGGGGTACAAACTGACTTTTTAGAGCCCATTCCCTATGGCGGGATACCTTGCTTAGCCTTAATACAGTGAGGATGGGCTTGGTCCTGCCTCAACTTGGTGTGCAGACTTTGTGGACTACCCAAGGGAGGTCTTACCCCATCAGAAGAGTGGGGGGGAGGTAGGGGAGTGGGAGATGGGGAGGGAGTGGGAACCGGGGTTGGTATATAAAATGAAAAACAAATTTTGTAATTAAAAAAGATGTTCTATTGCTAACTTTGTGAATTTCTGAAGCTCTTTCTCTCATTGGAATAGCTATTTTATTCTCACTCTTCTTCATTAGGTCACACAGTTGCTAGTCTATCATTTTCCTAGAAGCCTGGGTATACATTTTTATTCTAAGTAGGTATCAAGTGGCATGATTTGCCCACTTTTCAACTGGATTGCTTTTTGCTGTTGATGTCTGAGGTCTTTATATATTCTGGATACTAGATTCTTAGATATGTTATTTGTAAATGTTTTGGCCCATTTTCTGAGTTTTCATTTTTTATGGTTTTGATGTACAACATTTTTAAATTTTAATCAGGTCTAACAACTATTTTTTGTGGTTTTTCTAAAATACCATAGCTAAAACCAGAGTCATAAAGATTTACTGATGTTTTAATATTTTAATAGTTACAAGTTCTTACATTTAAATCGTTAATACATTTTTTGTTAACACTCATACATGACATGGGGTGGAGGTCTGGCTACATTATTCTGTGCAGATATTTAGTTGTCAATCACCAGCTGTTCAAAGGACTATTGTTTCCACCATTCAATTGTCTTGGCATTTTGCTAAAAATCAGTTCACGATAAACATATGCATTCATTTCTGAAGTCAATTCTATTCACTGTTAGTGGAGAATAGTATTTGAAGTCCAGCATCTTGGTGGCAGGTGTGCTCCTTAGCTACTGAAGTGCCATTTCCATTCCCTCTTCACAGGCAGAGGTAAGAACTGGAGGTATACAGACACACCAATCATTCTCTCAATAGATATACAATTCCCTTTTAAAACAATCATATCAACTTTCTATTTCCATTTAACATCATGGAGGTAATTTTATCCTTCCTTTTTACATATCGGTAAAAAAATGTTTCAAGCATGAAAGAACCAGCTCTAATTTTCCTCAACACATTTACTTATTTGTTCAATTATTTTATTTAATGTAAGAGATCATTGTCTCTTTACCATAAGGGTACTGACCTGGGACTATTTTCACTAGATCTTGTTCCTGCCCTGCTGCTACAAATAAGACTGACTGATGAGCCATGTGTAATGGCACATGCCTGTAATTCCATAGATCAGAAGACTGAGGCAGGAGACTTAACACAAATTTAGAGCCAGCCTGAGCTATATAATTCCCAGCCATAGGCACCATGACACTCCACCTGCCCATTCCTCCTCACATATACCTATTCCATACATTCCAACTCTGATGATATTACAAAAAAACTGCAAATTGCTATAACTCTGCCCCAATGCAAACTGTTTTAAAAAGATGACAGAGATGTTGAGGTTGCCTGTTTGTATTCCAGTTTGTGCATATGGATGCTACTTTTCACTGAGTTAAGAAATATAAGAGAATATGGGTTGGGTCAGAAGCATGCTAAAATTTAGATTTATCAAATTCAATGTGGTACTAAGACTGCCTAGTGGAAATATATAATGAGTAGTTAGAAATCTGAGTTTGGAGTTCAGACAGAAGTGAAGAGAAAGAAATGGATTTGTTTGTAACTGCAAGGAGAGGTTTATGAATGAATTTCAGAAGGGACAGATAGGTTATAAGAAACAATAAAATACATTATAAAAGTGGTAGATTTGGAAGAATGACCAATTGTGTCAAGTCAGAAGTTTATTAATGGCAGTTTTCAAAAAAGAATATGAGTTTGACTATGTGGAGGTTGTTAGGATAAACTTGAGGGGGTTCTGTGTGTAGGACCATGCAGATTCCATGGCAGGCAAGGGTGACTGAGGCGGGGGACAAACATGCCAGGCAGACAGAGCTTAGTGAGAAGTTTTATTAGAAAGGGGAGGGAGGAGCAAGGAATGAGAAAAGAGATAAAGAGACACAGAGACAGAGAGAGGACAGAAGAGAAGAGGGAGCTAGGAAAAGTCCTGTCTGCCCACAGAAGGGAAGAGAGCAGGGAAAGAGAACTGGAAAAGAGCAGAAAGAGAGCAGAGAGACAGAGAAGAGCTGGAAAGAGGGTGTGGCTCTCTGTAATTTCTCCTGCTGCCAGCAGCTGGCTGCCAGAGACACTCTGAGACCCTGACCCGGAACCAACAGCCCACTTTCCATCTATCCGTCTGCTGGAACCCATGCACAACACCTTGTTCATAAAATGGAACCTTACTTCCTATTATTTAAACCTGTAAACTTGTATTTTGCAATAATTATAGACTTACTAGAAATTGTAAAAATAGTAAAAATTCCCATGTACCCTTTACCCAGTTTGTCTTAGTTGTAAGATCTTCTACAACTTTAGAATTTCAAAACCAAAATTATGGTAATGGTATAATATTGCTAAGTAGGCTACAGACTTTATTCACTCCTACTAGATTTTATATACATTGATTTTATGTATATAAATCTATAAAATGCTAACACAGGAACAGATTTATGTATTAAACACTAAATTTAAGATACAAAATTGTTTCACAAGCCTAAATGAACATTTATGTCACACTGTAATAACAATACATATGCTATACAAACCCCAGTCCCTGACTCTGGAAATCATTAACCTGTTCTTCCTTTTCATTAATTCTGACATTTCAACAATGCTCTAGAAATGCAACCATATAGTAAGTGACCTTTTAAGACTCATTTTTTTTCATTTGCTATATGCCCCAAGGCTAATCTAAATTATATAGATACTAGCAATGGGTTCCTTTCTACTACAGAGTAGTAGTTCATGGTAAAAAATGGTCTGTTTAGCCATTTACTCACTGCAGAACATTTAAGTTGCTTCTAATTTGCAGCTATCACAGATAAAGCTGCCAAGAAAAAAAATCTGTAAAATTTTTTTTGTGCCAAGATAGGATGATTGCTATGTCATGTTAAGTGTATGCTTAATTTTATTAAAATTTCTTAATTCTTCTTCCCAGTAGCTGTGCTTTACATTCCTGTCATTGTATGAGAAATCTAGCTTGCATCCTCAACAAATTTGGCATTTTCACATTTTCTCTTTAGCAATTCTGATAAGTATATACTGCAGTTTTAATTTGTATTCCTCATTGATTTATGAGGGTAGATATTTTTCACATAATTACTTCTATTTACTGTCTTTAGTGACAATGTTTATATCTATTTTCATTTTCTAATGGGATTGTTTATTTTTGAGTTTTGAACATATTATCTTTTCTATTGATCAGATATTATTACATAGTTTACAAGTTATTTCTTGCCTTTCCTATTCTTAATATTTTGCATAATAAAAAAGTTTTAATTTTGATGAAGTCTAAATATCTACTATTTTTTCTTGTAGATTGTGGTTTTGAGTTGAAGATTAAGTACCTGACTCCTGAAAATTTTTCTTGAATGATTTTTTTCTAAGTTTTCTACCTTACATTTAAATCCCTGACACATTCTGAGGTATTTTTAAAATATATTTTGTTGGCTTGTGGAAATTCAACTTGTTGAAATGACTGTCCTTTCTTCTTGATCACTTTGTACTTTTTCAAAACTAGTTAAGCATATTATTGTGTGTTTATTTATGAATTTTCTTTCCTGTTCCATTGATTTATACATCTATTCTTCTGCGAATATCATAGCATCTTAGCTACTGCAGCTTTATAGTAAGTCTTGAAGTTATATAATGTGGGCCCTCCAACTCTATATTTTTCAAAATTGATTTAGTTTAATAAATTATATGCCTGGTATTTTAATCTGCCCTATAAAAAAGAAAATGAATAAACAACAATTATAGTAGAAGGAAATTAGAGAAAATACAGCATTTATAGTCCATATGCTCTAAGAATATTTGTTTTTAAATATAAGTATGCCTCAGAATCAGGTAAGTAGATCATGTAGATTTCTCGGTTTTAGCCTCAAAGATTGAATTTGAACTTCAAGTGATTCTGATGTAAGTGTCTCTATGATTTTAAAAAACAACAATCTAGAAGAAAATAATGAGACAAACCAACAACCCCAGTTATCACTGTGGTCTGGACTGATATTATCTGTTTTTTTCTTTTTACTCTTTTTCAGATTCCTACTTTAGTTTCCAGTATTCAGCAGGCTCAACTTTTTTCTGAAGACACAAATATAATTAGTGGTTACATATGAATGAATAATAAAATACAATTATCACATTTTTTGAAATGTGATTCTATTATAACATAAATCCTAAAAAATCAGGATCATATATTGAATTCTTAGATAGACAAGATCAGTAAGAATTTGCTTTAGACTCAAATAAGCTAGAGCTCAGTTGTTTGTTTAAAAAAGCACCCTCAGAGATACAAATTTAGATATCTCATAATATGTATTCAGAGATCAAGAAGGAAGTCCTGATACATGATTTTAAGTTAAAATAATCAATAGAGGTGGGTGCCAATGAGCCACCTGCATGTCTTTCCATTAGCCCTACCATACTTAGGTACTTAGGATTTACTTGCCTAGCAAAAACATCAAACTATAAAATAGGTGTTCTTCCTTTATCTTTTTATATAGGATGTATATGTCTGAAAATAAAAACGACGACTCCAAAGTCTAAAAAGTTTATGTTTCCGGTGCACATCTTTAATCCCACCATACAGGAAGTAAAGGCAAATGGATTTCTGTGAGTTTCAGACCAACCACTGCTATATAATGAGACATTGTCTCAAAAAAAAAGTTTAAGCTAGGTATTTTCATTGAGAATAAATATTTGATGCCACGTATGGTAGGTGACACATTCTTTTAATCCCAGCACTACAGAGGTAGATTTCTGAGTTTGAGGACAGTTTAACCAAGTATGTATAGTGAGTTCCAGGGCAGTTAGGGATACACATTAACACTTTGGCTCAACAAAATAGAGTATCTTTAAAATTTAAAATAAACTTATCAGACATTATATTCCCAGATATTCCTTGCTAATGTACCTTCTATACTCCTTACAAAGTAACTTTTATATTCTGCTTAAATCATCCTGGATATTTTCTTTTACAGCAACTGCAAGTAAGAGGATTCTACAAGCTCTGGGGAAATTTAGGAAGACATCTTGTGCTTTTATATATATAAAACTATTTGTTGGGACATAAAAAATGCTCCTGAATTATCTGCCTACATAGGAGTTGTATGTAGTTTTAGACCATATTCAGCACACAAACTGAAAAAAAAGTATTACCACATTTTGTCTTCTTGTTTTATTCCAGGGAAGACAGCTCCTCCATAAGCTCTTCCTTTTCTTGTTGCAATTCTTGCAAATGCTGCTGGTTTTGCTCCAGTCTGTCCTCCAACCACTGTAGTAGAGGCCCACTGACTGCTGACATCTGACTGCATAAATTCTTAGTAAACACTTCAATAAGAAAAGAAAAACCAGATAACTATGAAAAGTAGTATTCACAGGCATGTTCTTACTATATTACCAACAGTACTTTAGTTTTGGGCACAGGAAAAAGGGCTTGGAGGAACAAGTTTCTAAAATACAATAAGCAGGATTGATAAATGATTTTCAGTAGCCAACTAGGGGGAAAAGAACTGAGCAAAGCAGATACATTTTCTGAAGTCCTAGATCCATAAGCCAAATAGAAATCTAACTATGTAAAAAAAATAAAATAAAAAGGAGAAAGATGGCTAGCTCTTAATTTCTTCAAGTGAAAGGGCTAAGAAAGAGTCCTTTCTCCAGTAGGACTCTACTGTCTCCTCAAATGGAAACAGAATTAAGTCCATGCAAGTTAAGCTTGTTTCTTTTGATCAGCACTATAGTCTTGTGCCTATAGACTATCTAGCAAGGAAAAGGTACTTAAATGTTTTCTTTTTATAAATAAGCAAATGAATGGATGCTATTTAGTGAATAAACTATCCATCACTAATTTGAAATTTTGATTAAATATGAATTATTTCATATACATGCACCTGTCTCTAGGCACTGTCCAGGTATACTGATCAGTTTGTCTACATTTGAGCTGTTACTATATTTTTTAATTTATTGTTATTTTAGAGTATGGGTGTACACCATATATTACCAGCCTTAACTCTTCGTCATGTTTTATTGAGATAAATATGTTTCCCTTTTTGTCTTCACAAAGAAGTTGCCTACTAATCAGAAATCTTTCCACTGTTTGTTGTGGTACATGCCTTTATGCCTAGCACTTGAGAGGCAGAGGCAGGCAGATCTTTGTGAATTTGAGAACAGGGTGGTCTACTACACTGAGTTTTTTTGCTCCTTAGACTTAACTCAGGAATTCCTTCTCTATTTATTCATTTATTCTATTTATTTCTGCTTCATGTATTCTCTTTCCTCTACCTGCCTACCTCTTCCAACTCTTACTACAATAAGTTGGTGGTAATGTGATAAAACCAGTTCATAATGGCATATTGCTAAAATTTCTGGATGCTATTGAGCATCCATGCTATGGAATGCTATGGAAACTGGGATTCCCTAAGAGGTAGTGTTTAAAGATATACCACAAAACCACTGCGCTAGTTTATAAAAAAGCTTTTCTAGTTTTCCTTTTGTCTTATCATAAGGCCACATTTATAGTATTTAAGGGTCTGTAGGGTTCCAAGGAAATGTAAGGAGCAAGATTAGTTAAATTTCTTGAGAAGGAAATTCCAAGATCAATTAAAATTGTTTATAATAAAATGAGTATGTCAAAGATCACTTCATATGCTCCAGAATATTTTACCTGAGCCATTATGAATCTTGGTTACTGAATCCAGATGTGTAAGGCTAAAGGAAAAAGGTACTTTAGGTTAGCAAAAAAGCAGAAACAAAATGGTCAGGTGTTTAACAAAATCATAATCTGCATCAAACCTTTGCCAATTAGATTAGATGAACATAATGATTTGAGTTCCCACCATTGTTCATTTTAAATTTATTTGGGGGATATGTTTTTATTTAAAAATTCAAAAGATAATTCAAAGATGTAATTATGAAATTACTATCTCTCATTGAATGAAGCTCTTGATATACTATGCATTTAGTAGACAAGGCCCAGTACTACACAGTGGGACCACTAGGGTGTTATGGTTTATTTTCACAACCAGAAAAGGAAACATGTTTTGTTTTGAAGGATCCAAAATATATGAGGCAAGATAGTAATGTTAAAGAGATCATTATAATATAGTTTGAGAAACATGATTTGAAGCTGCTGTGATGCTCACTCCCAGACTGGCAGAAGGAAAGGGGACTCAAGAGCTAAGCTGCTAAAAGATAAAGGGTCTTCACTAAAGTTAACAAGAGAAACACTAAAAGTTGTTACCTGTGAATCCTTCTATATGCATCCTGTTCTTCCTGACACAGGATCTTTGGCAGCTCTACTGCTGATTCAAGGCATACTTTCCCAATAGTGATATGAGGTACAATATGGATTGGGATTTCAATTCTCTCATACCTGCAAGACAACCAATTTTTGTCACATTTTGTCCATTAATTAAAATAAGTTCTTTACACTTTAACTGAGACTTTCATATATGGAGTGCTTCAAAGATTACATATTACTATAATTCATTAAGTTACTCAATTTGAAAGTGGACAGAGTTTAAATTAGGCTTTTCTGGAGAGCAAATTAAAAGTCTATTTGTACACTCATTATTCTCTAGTTCCTTAGAGAATATGAATCCATTTTTGCAAATTTCAGAGAAACCTTTAGGAATTCAAAACCAAATAAAAGAAACAACTAATACTGCTGTTAGTCAATAAGTTGCCATGAAGCTGACAAACTGACTCCAATGCAGATACTCCAGTGACATTATCAAATTCATTTTGTAGATGGAACAACTGACACAAATAACTAGCATCCCTCCATTTTTATTCTCATCTATGAATAAAACTAGGTAAGATGTTTACACATACTTCCATTCCATGATAGAATGGATGGTACAGACAAGTTTGCTCTAAGTTCAGTCAAGCTACCTGTATTTATTTCTCACTCCCAATATGCCTAAACTCTACATTAACAGTGGAGTCAGTGGAGGATCCAGTCTTGGGGCTCTCTACATTATAAAATCTAAGGGTACATGATAGTAAAATAGAATAAGATCTAGTTCTCTATTTTCTCTTCCTACCCACCAAAGTATCTTTGGATCCTATATCATTACTTAGATGAAACATACATGACAGGAAATTACAACTATCCTTCACTTACCCATGTTCACATAGTCAGGAGAGAGATAATGAAACAATATACAATAGTAGTCTTTGAAGAATGACATTTTGGGGAGTAAAACACAGTGGTTATTATTAATGATGGGTCCAGAAACACTGAAGAAGTCAAGTCTGCTACTCTTAATTCTCTTAACAAGATTACCAACTAAATTTGCTGGGTACACAAGCAGAAATGGTCCCAACACTGTACCATATTTGAACACACATTTCCATTAATTCACAGAACAAACTGCAGAGTTTCTATCAGGTAACCAAAACTCAAATCCTAGAGCCAAAGTAAAACCATATATATCTAAAGTTTATGACAGAGATTCTGCCTCTGATAATGAAGTAGCTGTTATAACCAGTCTTCCTACTAAAAACAATTAAAACTCACTTAAAGAAAAAACTGACAAAAGTCACTGAAGAACTTATTTGGCTTACACTTCCATATCACTATTTATCATAAAAGGAAGTCAGGACAGGAACTCACACAGGGCAGGAACCTGGAAGCAGGGCCAACAACTAAAGAGGGAGAAAATTTCAGAGACAAGCCTCACAGTTAGATCCAGTTTTCCTAGAAAAGTATGATTCTAAATGAGGAAACTTATATAGGATAAGAAGTTGTAAAGAATTCTCAAAATACTGATGAATCTGGATGACAAAATTATAGCTAAGGACATGCAAGGGTAAAGAAGCCCTGTGAAGTGTTCTCAGGCATATGATGGTAAACATACTAGGAACAAAAACAGAACTACATTATTGTACTGGTTGGTTTTGTGTGTCAATTGACACAAGCTAGAGTCATCAGAGAGGAAGGAGATCCAGTTATGGAAATGCCTCCATGAGATCCAGCTATAAGTAATTTTATCAATTAATGATCGATGGGAGAAGGTCCAGCCCATGATGGGTTGGACATCTCTGGGCAGGTGTTCCTGGGTTCTATAAAAAAGCAGGCTGAGGAAGGCAGAAGGAACAAGCCAGCAGCCTCTGCATTAGCTCCTGCCTCCAGGATCCTGCCCTGTTTGAGTTCCTGTCCTGACTTCATCCAGTGATGTACTATGATCCGGAAGTGTAAGCCAAATAAACCTTTTCCTCCCCAACTTGCTTTTTGGTCATAGTGTTTCATCACAGCAACAGAAACCCTAACTAAGACAACTATATAGGGACTAGAAGTCTAAACTTGAATTATCCCAATTCCTGATTGAATAGGAAGTGATCTGGTAGTTCTACTAGATAGAATATAGAAAGCCACTAAAACCCTTTCTCTCACTATAACAAGAAAATATCAGATAATAAAATATAAAGGAAAATATCTACTAAGTGTGAGTACAAAAGTAATTTCAAATAAATTATGTTCTAGAAAGAAACAATGAATAGATTATGAGTAAAGATCAGTGACCACTCTTCTCTTTTGAGACAGAGAAAGGTACATGATAGGGCTTTGCCTGAAGTTTAACTTTGCTAGGAGTAAGGAGAAATGAATAGGGCTTGTAATAGTGATTATGTGGGTATATGTGGTAGATTGAAACATGTAGAAGCCTTAAGTATAGAATTGATTCAACTCCACTATCAAATGTAAACCACAAGCTTTACTAAGAACATGGAGAATGAGATTTGAGCTGGAAAGCAAAGAGAGCTTCAGCATTTCATACTTATTGAATCTAAAATTCATGTTATACACGGAGAAATGTGATAACCATTAGGCAGCTGTCACCTTGTGCTCATAACCCAACAATAGAGAGAGAGAGAGGAAATGAAAAGAAAGGGAAAAGGAAGGAATTTTCAAAAATACAGTAGGAATATAGTCATTGGCCAACATTTATAATTAATATAGCATCGTGTTTCTTGGGGGCTGAAGTGGTGGTGGGACCAGGCTGGAGGGACAAAGAACCTCTCATAATACAAAAGTATCTGTTGCACAAGCATAATGACCTAAATCAGATTTCCAGGACCCAAACAGTAGAAGGAGAACTCCAGAAATTTGTTCTCTGACCTTGACATGTGTACCATGGCATAGCACACTTTGACATATCATACATATGTGCATGCAAAAATACACATATGTATACACATGTAATAAATATTTTTTAAAGTTGGGTGTGGTGGTGCATGTCTATAATCTCAGCACTCAGGACGCAGCAAAGGCAGGTTGATCTTTGCGTTTAAGGTCAGTCTGACCTACAGAAAAATTTCTTCACCAGTCTGAGCTACACAGAGAAGCCCTGTACCCCCCCAAAATAAATAAATTTAAAGAAATCTACTTTGCTACAAATAAAAGAGTTCCAGAAATTTATCTATTTAAAACCGTGTCTGAAAATAAAAATCCAAGCACATTAAAACAGATTAGGACTGGTGAAATAGTTTACAGCAGCACAAGAGAACTGACCCCCAAAACTTGTTCTCTGACCCGCATGCCATGTGTGCTATGCCATGTGTGTACATACACAAATGCAGTAACAATAAGCCAAAAATAAGTCAACAACCAAATTTCATACCTCAAACAGAAAAAAATGACTAAACCTAAACCAAGCAGAAAGAAATGGATTATAAATAATAGGTAAAGTAGAACAGAGAACACAAAATCAACAGAGGGAAACAAAAGTTTGCTTTTTAAAAGATGAACAAACCAAAAAAAAACTTTAGCAAAATAAACTAAGGGGGAAAGGAAGGATCATTCAAGTAACTAAAATTAGAGTTGGGAAGTATAAGTAAAGCCAATGGCAATGATGGGGCTGGGAAGATGGCTTAGAAGTTAAGGGTACTAAAGATGCTCTTGTAAGGGACTTTAGGATTTCTATTACTGTAACAAAACACCATGACAAAAAGCAAGTTGGGGATGAAAGGGTTTATTTGGCTTACACTTCCATATCACTATTTATCATAAAAGGAAGTCAAGACAGGAACTCACACAGGGCAGGAACCTGGAAGCAGGAGCTGATGCAGAGTCCATGAAGGGGTGCTGCTTCCTGGCTTGCTCCCCATGGCTTGCTCCACCTGCTTCCTTATAGAACTCAGGACCACTAACACAGGTGGCACCACCCACAATGGGCTAGCCTCTCCCATTGATTACTACTCAAGAAAATGTCTTACAGGTCTGCCCTACAATCTGATCTTATGCAAATATTTTCTTATTTGAGGTCCCTTCCTCTAAAATGACTTTAGTTTGTGTCAAGTTGATATAAAACTAGCCATCACAAGGACCTCAGTTCAGTTCCCAGTACCCACATACCAGTTTACAATCATATATAACTACAGGTGTAAGGGATTCTGGTCACTGTACACACATGGTGCACAGGCAAACATTCAGACACAACACTCATACACATAAAAATAAATAAATAAATCTTTTTAAAGGCAATGAAATAAAACTACTATAAGAGGATATTATAAACAATTGTATACCAATAAATTGGATAAGAAATATAACATAATACTCTGTAATAAAAGTTTATTGTTCGGGATGGAGAGGTGGCTCAGCAGTTAAGAGCACTAGCTGCTCTTCCAGAGGTCCTGAGTTCAATTTTCAGCAACCACATGATGGCTCACAGGCATCTATAGTGGGGACCTTATGCCTTCTTCTGGTATAAAGGTATACATGCAGGTAGAGCACTCACACATCAGATAGATAGATAGATAGATCTTATAAAAGTTTATTGTTCTTTTTTAAACTTTTATTTTTATTATTTTATGTATATGTGTGTTTTGCCTGCATGAATATCTGTGTACCACATGTGTGTAGCAACCATGGAGGCCAGAAGTTGATGGATTTTGGGGACAGGAATTATGGACAGTTGTCAGCCAACTCACAATGCGGGTGCTGGGAATCAAACCCATGTCTTTCGGACAGTATCAAGTGCTCTTAACTACTGAGCCATCTGTTCAGTTCCTAGTTTTTTAAATGTTGAGGAAATATTTCATGAGGAAAAAGTAGTTATCTATGTAGTTAACTGAGGTCCCAACTTCTGAACACTCAAATATAATTTCTGAAGACACATTTGAACTTTACATATAATAGTTCTTACTTGGTCCCCAGAATTAATGTCTTTCTGGAATCCAAAACACATTGAATTCTCCATCAAACCATGTGATGAGAATGGTCAGTCAGCAGACATCCACCTGTGAGACCATGATTCTATATGACCCCTTCATCAACAATTTCCAAAGACAAGATGCTAGTGAAATTGTATAAAGACCAAATGATTATCCTTTTAAAAAATAACTTTTTAAAAATGGTAGATACCAGGTGCGATATCTCATTTCTGTAATCTCAATTACTTGAGAAGCAGAGACAGGAGGCTCTTAAATTCAAGTTCCTTCTGGGCAACTTAGCAAAACCCTGTCTCAAAATAAAATTTCAAAAGGGGAATGGAGATGTAGCTCAGTTGACAGAGTGCTTGCTTAATGTGTATGAAGTCCTGGATTTCATTCCTAGCACTGCATAAACCATCAGTGGGAGCAGATGCCTGTTACCCTAGCACATTGGAAGGTTAATGCAAAAGGATGAATGAAAGAATGAATTATCTGTTAATATTATAAAAAATGATATTCCCACCTCACACCTCTGGGAGAGATGTCTTTACTGACATCTTTACTGATATCTTTACTGTCAACTCTACTGAACTCAGTGCAGGAGCCAGACAGGTTAGGAGTAAAACATCTGATATTTTAGATGGTTATTTTGTCTTTTCCAATTAATAGCACTGAGAACAGAGCTAATATTTGATTCAGTTAGTGCCATTATTATTTATCTAACAAATGATTGCAGAAATCATGTTTGCTTTTTATCTGATATACAACATAGCCTTTATGTACCTATTTTCAAGGACTGAGTTCTATAAATCCAATAATACTAAGTATTCTAGGCCAACATATCTTTAATACACAGCATTATAAGTGATTCTCTTTTAATATTCAAATCCTATTTTATTTCACTGCCATTTAGACTAATAGCATACTGTCCACACCATAGCTCATGAAGAAGTATACTTCAAATATCAGGATATGAGCATCGTCAGTCATGTGAAATGGATAGGAAATGTAAGATCAACCTTTTCTGGTTTTCCATTGAGTAACATATTTAACTTCCATATTGTCTAATTTATTTATATGCTTTCTCAGGTAATTCTCACTGCCCTAAATTTGACAAACAGGGGGCTATGTCAAACATCACCTGACTCTACATACAAACATCTAATTACTTAAGCAATTAGTCCCATAAGTGGCAATTTCTCTGAACATAGTGACTCAGTTGCACTAGCTTTAAAAATCAAAATTCTATGCATTGCTACAACTGAATTTTAATATAGTAGGAGACAATGTCTACATGATTATCAGCTCACCACTGCCAACTAAGAAGGGTGTATCAGAGTTCTCTAGATTTCTCTAGAGCAGTTCCTCATGTTGTGGTAACCTCTATGAATTTATTTTTGTTGCTACTTCATAACTTTAATTTTGCTACTGTTATGAATCATAATGTAAATATTTTGGAGATAGAGGTTTGCAGTGGGGTTGTGCCCCACAGGTTGAGAACTACTGCTCTACAGGAACAGAAATGATAATATATAGTATCTTAAAGGCAACTAGCAGCACAATACAATTTTGGAAATGTGAAACAAGACTATGGTGATATAGCTATAACAAAGAGACTATATATCTGATTCCAGCTTCCTAGACTTTCACAGTACCCAAACTGATAAAGAAATTCTAATATTTCTTAGAACTATTAGCGAGTAAGAGTAGGAATACAGTACTATTAGTATCTTACTTGAGAAAAATTAAATGAACTAGAACAATCAACTCCATGACTAGGCATTAGTCCCGTCAATAATAACATCTCTGTCATACTTACTCTGAGCTCTTTTGGGCTTGTATGGATTGGAAGCAAGTATAAAGTACCCGACCTGTCTATTAAAAAGAAAGCCAGAAAGGAAATGTCATATACAAAAGGATTCATTTTTATTAATTTTTTTCTTGAGACATAATCTGGATATCTTTACAGAGTACATTATAGTATTCAATATAAATATACACTGTGGAATAACTGACTCAGTATAACAAGCACTTCTATCTTCAATAATTAATCATTATGTTTTTTGTTTTTCGAGACAAAAATGTGTAGCCTTGGCTGTCCACAGCTCAATCTCTAGACCAGGCTGGCCTGGAATTCTCAGAGATCTACTTGCCTCTGCCTCCCAAGTGCTGGGAGTAAAGGCATGAGCCACCACCGCCCAGTGGACCATTAATCCTTTTTGTGTTGGAAATTTCATAGCAATTCAGTAGACTCTAACTTAAAACTCAAAGGCTTTTATGAACATAGTAGACTAAAAGAGATTCGATAGGCTATAGAATATGCCACAAATAAATCAATTTCTGTGAGAAGGATCACATACATAATCAGTACAAGTTATAGCCAAACATCTTCTCATGAGATAGAATTATTAACAAATATGAGAACCAGGAAAGTAATTAACCTCATTTATTTATGATGATAATAAGCAAATTAAATGGTGACAAAACCAAAAGCATTTCAAAAAATTATAAAGTTTCAGATATTGCCTTGTACTGTTTCTGGAAAACAGTGAATTCATGGAAAATATTCATTATTAGCACAGTTATCTTCTCCACACCAAAGTCAAAGCTTTATAATCTTTCGCCTAGATTACTGGCAATATCTTCTTAACTAGTTTCTCTGTCATTAATTTCACCCTTCTCACACTAAACCTGTCTAATCCATTAGTAATATAATACCTAGAGTGATTTTATTAATATATAAAGTCACCCTATAATGGCTTCCCATCTCAGAGGCAAAGTAAAAGCCTTACAAGAACTAGTTCCCATTACATTTTGGGCATCTTTAAGGATGACCAAATCAGAACACTTCCAAGAGATAAGGAAGAAAGGCTAGTTAAATAGGGTATTGCAATATAAGTATATAAATTAAGACCAAGACAAACATTTGCCATGGTCCTCCTCTTTCTACTACAGTCACACCAACTTCTTCAATATTCCCTGAAAATGCCACACTCACTGTAGGGTGCTTACACTTGCTATTTCCTCTGTCAGGGATAATCTTCCCCCAAGAAATACTCCCTTATCTTCTTCCAATCTTGACTCAATAACCTTTCCCATTGAAAACTTCCCTGGCCATCCTACTAAAACTGCAAAGAGATTTTTTTCTATTCTGTATCTACTCTATGTACAAATACACATACACACACACACAAACACACACACACAAATGTGTATGTACACACACACACTTATACATACAATACCTTTGTGTTCTTGTCTTCTATGAAGCAGGAAAAAATAAGTCCTACAAAGCCTTGATCCATCATTTGGTACATAGCTTGTGTACGAACATCTAAAATATAAATAAAAATATTCTGTTAATAACCTGTATTTAACAGATTTTATTTAGAGATATCAATAATGACTATTAGCTATCTTGTCAACATTGGTATTCTACAGGCAAAATAGGGATACACTGCAATAATGTGAATATCAGCATATTTTGTTAAGTTAAAGAAATATTATGGAAAGTTTGCTATTAAGTAGTAACTCTAGGCTGCTTAGCCCAAGAGTGGCCCTACTATAAAATGTAGCACAGATAAAAAAAATTGAAAGCTTCAGCTATCCCCCAAATTTGATAATTTCCTCTGGATTAGAAGACAGACTTTGGTAGTGACAAAAATATTTCTTAGAAGGAAAACCCTTTTGATAACAATGCTATGTAATTGAGGAAAATGATATTCATTCAAGTTAAATAAACAAACAACACTGCAACCTTATCACACTTACCAACATGGGAAGGCCAAACTGTTATATGAGGGTGGGAATGATACCAGCCAACAACTCTCATGGGACGGCCTGTTAGTTCAGCCAACCTGTATGTTTGTCAAGGTATTTGCAAATAAAGAAAGACCTTGATGCTCATAATAAAGGCCCAAAATACATAACTAAGGGTGAAATAAGGTCGATGCTCAGAACTTCTAATGTTATTCACTTAAAGTCAGTTTTTTTCTTTAAATATAACTCATATTTATATCATCTTACTGCAATTGTGCTATTCAAATCTTTACACTCTTTGCAAAAATAGCTTGTTTAAATCTCCATAATTCATTTATATTTTCAATTCGAGAATCCTGTCTTGTCTACCCTCACTTTCAGTATGGAAATATAATAAATAAATTCATATCCAGTGGTTCTCAACCTTCCTAATACTGCAACCCTTTAATACAGTTTTTTATGTTGTAGTGAACCCCAACCATAAAATTATTTTCATTGTTACTTTATAACTGTAATTTTGTTGCTGATATGAATCATAATGCAAGTATTTCTAGAAATAGAGGTTTGCCAAAAGGGTCATGACCCACAAGTTGAGAACCGTGTATACACACACACACACACACACACACTGATATGTGTGGACTGTAGAGTGGAGGAACAGGGATGATAGGCAAGTGCTCTACCTCTAAGCCATAATGATTTTTTAAATATATTTAATTTCTCCGTAGTAAGCTATCAGATGTTAAAACAGCAAAGTAAAGTGGTTGCAGGCCATACAAAGTCCACAGATCATTTGCACATGTAGTATAAAATGCTGCTTAGTTTTCCTACAAATTACCTATATTAAAACACAACAAATGATTGCCATTTTGACTGAAGTGAAATGGCATCACAACATAATTTTGATTTACATATCCTTGATGACTAGATGTTAAGTGCCTTTAAGATATTTATTGGATGGTCATGCTTCTTCTAAAATTATCTATTTATTTTTATTTCATCTGTGTGTTTTACTTGTATGTATGTATGTATGTGCACCATGTGCATGCCAGATACCCAGAAGTTTCTTCTTTTGAGAACATGAATCATGAAAGAGAATTTAATGCTATTTTTTCCTAGTTTCAACTCTGTTAGTTTCTTCTTTTTGTATATATAAGTGAATAAAAATGCAATTGAGGGACTGAAGAGGTTCACTGGCTGCTCTTCCAGAAGATCTGGGTTCAATGTCTAGCACCCACATGGCAGCTCACAACTATTTGTGATTCCAGCGCCAGGGTATTTGATACACTCTTCTGGCCTCCAAAGCATTGCATGCACATAGTGCATAAACAAACATGCAGGCAAGACATCCATGTAATTGATAACTAAAGTGAAAGTAAAAGTACCCTAAGTGAAGCTCCACTGCTTTAGAATGGCCATTCTAACTATATTGAGATATATAGAGTTTTGGTCTGGGCAACTGTTTGAGTGACTAGGTTAAATTAGCTGTTTTTATTTGTGAGCTAATTAGAATAAAGTTTTTTAATTTTAAAAAGAGTGCACCGTCTACTCAGTTCATTGTTCATATATTGACTGGCAGATTTTTCTGGTGTTTAATGCTTGCAATTCTTTGTACATTCCAGATATTAACTGCTTGTCTGAAGAATAGCCAGCAAAGATTTTCTCCCATTCTATATATGTAAAGGCTGGAGAGAGAGATGGCTTAGTGGTTAAAAGGCAGTGGCTGCTTTCCTAGAGAATCCAGGTTGGATTCCCAGCATCCACATGGCAGCTCACAACCATGTAGAACTTCAGTTCCAAGAGATCCAACACATTTTTTCTAGTTTCATGAGCACCAGGTTCACATATACATATACACAGGCAAAACACCCACATACATAAAATTAAACACACAGACATACTACATTTTATACAACTAAATCTAAGGAACAATACACCTTTTGAGATAGGATCTCACTATATAGGCCAGGTGGCCTCGAATTTGCAGTCCTCCTGCCTCCACTTCACACATCCTGGAACTACGGGTAGAACCACTGCACCTTGCTTAAAAGTGCTTTTAATGTTCAAATGATGAGGAAAATTGCTTATTCCTTGAGTTTCTCTCTTTAGCAGTAGACTGGGAAGAATGTTCCACATGGTAGTGAAGAGTATATGTGTCACTCTGTGTAAGGTGTTCAGCTCTGTGCCTGGCTCCCAGTAAGTACTTGACAAATAGTAATTGTAATGGTAAAGTATAATCGTATACCCAGCCATTACCTGTTTGGGAATGGGTTGGTTTCCACTTGAATATAATAAGTAATCTCAATAATAAACATAATTTTTAGAACTATAGGAATTTTTGTTTTGGCAGTTAATTCTATTTGTTTTTAAAATATACAAAGTTCACTAGATAGGAAACATAAAGTGAGCCTATGAGAGGATTTCCAAACCACACAAGAATAGGGAAGGAAAACTAAAGTCAAGCCAGGTAGAGTACCCAAAGCTTAAGTGGATCATTAAGTCTGGTGGCTTTTAGGGCAGAAAACATCTCCAAAGAGACAGGTATGTCCACTGGGTCCCATTTGAGTATTCCACGGCGCATAGAGAAACCTAAGTGTGTGAGGGAAGGACCTGAGGCCTAAGAAAAAGTAACTGCCCCTTAACAAGGTGATGGTAAGTAACTACTGGGCCCTGAGAAGCAGAATGGAGACCAGCAGCTATTTCCCCCTACACATTCCCTGCCAAGTTAGAGAGACATCTTTTAGGAGACAGGGGATAAAGTACTTAGAAGGGTCCTGTCTTAGTAGTGAGGAAAACCTCCTGTACTCAGAGTTGTTCAGTTCTATACAGTTCACCCTGAAAAGTTTCAGATGTCTCCAAGTTGCTCAATAGCATCCTAAAAGCTAGCTCATGAGTCTGTATAGCAATACAGAAATATCCAGGAGATAAGAAAAGGTAGACTGTGACATCAAACCCCATGTGGCCAGGAATACAAAGCAGCAGGAAATGTAAGGTAACACATTTGTGACTGTCAGGAGTTAGGTGGAATGGAAAAGTTGAGTGTGGCTATGAAAAGGTAGCATGAGAAAATAGTTTTATATCTTTAAAACTTTTATTATTATTGTGTGTATGGTTTCTACAGATGCATGTGCCACAGTGAGCATGTGGAAACCAACGAACAACTTTTTGTAGTCAATTCTCTACTATTAAGTAGGTTCCAGAGAAAGAACTTAGGTCAATAGGCTTTTGTGAAAAGCATCATCACCCATGATACTATCTCACTGGCCCCCAAGTTTGAAAGTTGACTATTTTGGTGGCGAAACACACCATGTGACAAAGTAGCATAGAACTATAAATATTCTACTACTGTCAATATCCTACTTTCTTTTTATGCTATAATTTTAGCCCATAGGTAAACTGGGTCAAGGTTTCTGTAGTATTTTTTAAAGTTCTAATGGATTTATATATATTTTAGAAACAGAATTTTTAAAAATATAAAGGGCAAACAGGATTAATAAATCAATAAGAAAATATAAAAAGAACTATAATTATGTTAGGGAGCACATATGACAGTAAACATTTACATTCCCAAGTAAACAGGAAAAAAATCACTACCCTTCTTACAAAAAGATAATTTTCATAATTTATAAAAAATCTATTAAAAAACAAAATTATCAAACCTATAGAAAAACAAATGAAATAGCCAGATAATTTTGTAAAAAATATCAACTCTTAAAAAATGAAAACCTAATTTTAAGCCGCATGTAATGGAACACATCTTTTATCACAGCACTCAGGAGGAAGAGGCAGATGAATCTCTGTGAGTTTGAGGCCAGCCTGGTCTACACAATGAGTTTCAGGCCAACAAGAGTTACATAATGAGACCTTGTCTCAAAAAAAAAAAAAGAAAACAAAAACCCTAAATTTACTCATAAGAAAAATACAAGTGAGTTCCAGGACAGCTAGCGCTACATAGTAAGACCCTGTCTCCAAAAAAAAAAAAAAAAAAAAAAGGAAAAATAAAGTTGAAAGAAATTAAAACTTTAATTTTTGAAACAAAGTCTCACTACATACCACAGGCTGGCTTCTACCTTGTAAGTACTGGGATTACCAGCATGTGCCATCATACGCTGGCTAACAAATTATTTTCCTGGGCAGATTAGCAATAGTGAAAACAGAAGGAATATTTAGATGAGTCATCACATTTGGGGGCCTGTCATGTCCACTAACACCCCAGTTTCACACAGAGATGGAACCTTGTAGTAGTAGCTCTACAAGCTGACAACCAGCTTGCTTTGTAACTCTTCATAAAGTAATTAATAGTATTTGTGTTCAGGCTTATGTTCTCTATAGAGATTATCATACTGTTTGGGATTCAATAGAATGAGTGCATACGTACATACTCTAGAAAATGTTAGAAAAGTTTCTGAAGCTTTGGTTGGAAAAATGAATCTGATGAAGTATCTCAACAATTGGATCAGTTGAATTCTTAAAATTAAATTCATCAATAAATAACTATGTAAAGGTTGAAAGGTAGGGAAGATGAAATCAAGTAGGATATGTTAGGAGAATCTGTTGATAATTCTTCCATACCAACATAGGATTTTGATTGGCAGTTAAGGCTTGCACTTTCTGGTGACAAGGTTGCTACATTAGGAGCTAGAGAGATGGCTTAGTGGTTAAGAATCTACCACAAAAAAAATGATAAGAAGCGGGGCGTTGGTGGCGCACACCTTTAATCCCAGCACTTGGGAGACAGAGGCAGGCAGATCTCTGTGAGTTTGAGGCCAGCCTGGTCTATAAGAGCTAGTTCCAGGACAGTCTCCAAAACAATACAGAGAAACCCTGTCTCAAAAAAAAAAGAAAGAAAGAAAGAATCTATACTGCACTTGCAGAAGATATGGGTTTAGTTCCCAGAATTCATTATCAGGCTATTCACAACTGCCTGTAACTCCAGCTCTAAGGGATCCAGTGTCCTCTTCTGGACTTTTCAGGTATGCATTCACATGGGGTATATATACCCATATAGAATAACAAAATATATTTTTAAGATTGCTGAATTACAAATGTTATCATGATGTAAAATGAAGTAAACTATATTTTGTTGACATAAGTAAAGGCGTTTTAGATTCTACCAAATTCTTAAGAAGTGGCAAAAAAGATGGCCTACAGTTTAAATATTCTGAAATGATGAATACCAATGCTATCAGATTTCAGTGCTCCAACTGATACAGCAGAGTGACTACTGTGTGTTTAGAAACCCTGTAATAATTGTTACACCAGGCTAAGAAAGCAGGAGTGATGATATTGCCAAGATAAAAATCTATCAATGTCCTAAAGGAACATGAGATTTCATGGTGAAAGAAAATGCATAAAAGGAAAGATGAAAAAAGCTATGGGAGGGATTGAAGAGATATCTAAGTGGTTAAAAGCTCTGGCTGCATTTCCAAAGGACCCAAGTTCATAAACTCCAGTTCCAGGGGATATGACACCATTTTCTGGCCTCCTTGAGCACCAGGCACACATGTGATACATACACACATAGGTAAAACATCCATACACTTAAAATAAAAACAAATACAACTTTTCTAAGAAACTATAGTGGCAATTTTCATTTCTATTTTATCTAATTTCTTAAATACTTAAGAAATTTGTACAAATAGTTCTACTACAAGCTAAAAATCACTTCAAAAGTAATTTAAATGCACAAAGCATAAATATACTTGAATAGGAAATATTATATGACTGGTAAGGTAATATATTTTTATATATAATCAATCGATAATCTTTGAAAAAAGTATTTATAAAAGGTTATATGTAAACTAGAATATTATGTATCTTACTTATATTGCAAAGTATTATGAAATATAAAATTTAAGGGCTGGACAGATGGCTCAGAGGTTAAGAGCACTGGATGCTCTTCCAAAGGTCCTGAGTTCAATTCCCAGCAACCATGTGATGGCGCACAACCATCCACAATGAGATTTGGTGCCCTCTTCTGGCCTGCAGGGATACATGCAGACAGAACACTGTATACATAATAAATACATAAATAAATAAATCTTTAAAAAATATAAAATTTAATAGAGAAAAACTTGATGAGATGTCAACAAAATACTCTAAATGCATAAAAAAGCTTCAAATCCTAAAATCTAAATACAGGAAAAAGAAAGTAACATTATTGCTTTTGTATTTCCTGTGTGACTGGGAGACTATACTCTAAGTAATAAGAACATATTGTTGGCCGGGCGGTGGTGGCACACGCCTTTAATCCCAGCACTCGGGAGGCAGAGGTAGGTGGATCTCTGTGAGTTCGAGGCCAGGCTGGACGGACAGCCTCCAAAACAATACAGAGAAACCCTGTCTCGAAAAAAACAGAAAAAAAAAGAACATACTGTTGGACCAGCCAGTGGTGGCACACCTTTAATCCCAGCACTTGGGAGGCAGAGGCAGGCAGATCTCTGAGTTCAAGGCCAGCCTGGTCTACAGAGTGAGTTCTAAAAACCGACAGAGCTATACAGAGAAACTCTGTCTCGAAAAATCAAAAACAATGAATTGTTAATATAGAAATATGTTAAATTCAGTATTAACAATTTATTACAAAATAGATTTATAAACTGGGAGATGGTGGTGCACACTTTTAATCCCAGCACTCAGCAGACAGAGGTAGGCTGATCTCCTGTGAGTTCGAGGCCAGCCTGGTTAACAGAGTGAATTCCAGGACTGCCAGGGTTGCTACAGAGAGATCCTGTCTCAAAAAAACAAATAAACAAACAAAAACACCCAAAACCAAAATGGACCTATAGATGACAAAAATCGTAAAATTTAAATATAAGTAGTATACATACATAGTGTAAACTCTGAAAAGTATACAAAGGACCCAGGTGTGATGGCAGTTGATATCTGCAATCCCAGCACTCAGGAAGTAGAGGCAAGAACAGTCTAGGCTACAGAATAAGACCTTCTATTAAAAACTCCAAAATAAAAAAGTACAAGAAATACTTTAAAATTCATTTTCTCCAGTTCTATGCACAGATAGAACCAGGACAAGATTAACTTAATCCAGCAGCACAATAAACCACTAGAGGCACTGATATTAAGTTAATGTGCCATAAATAAGGTATGGAATTCAAACTACAGGAAACAAATCATTCTTTGGTTATCTTTAACATGAAATAATGTGTTCAGTTCTCCTCATTGCATCTTCTGAGGGAAAGTTTCATAGACTAATCTCTTCAGAGATAGTGAACCACCTAGAAATTAGAAAAACTGTAAGGGCATGGAGGAATAAAGTCAATATTTAGAAAATATGATGGTAGGCAAAAGGGACTACCTATACAGCTCACTGTTGTGGTGTTTTACCCTGGGTCCTGTGGACATTTATAAGCATGACTGTCCAAAATTTTTATTTCTTCTGATAAAAGAAATGAGGAAATGAAATTCTGATTAACCTGGGATGAGGAGATGGCTTGGTTTACAAAGTACTTGCTTTTTAAGTGCATGGCCTTATGTTCCATCCCCAGAACTCACAACCTAGTCAGAATGGCTATCATCAAGTAAACAAGTGACAGGCCTGGATAGATGGCTCAGTGGTTAAGATTACTTGTTACTCTTGCAGAAGATCCAGGTTTTGTCCCCGGCACCTAAATAGTGGCTCACAGTCATTTATCTGTAACGCTGGTTCCAGGGGATCTAATGCCCTTTAACCTGTTCAGGCACCAGGTAAACACATGATGCACATACATATATGTAAACAAAACATTCATATACATAAAACTTAGTTAAGAAAGAAAATAATTACAACAAATGCTGGCAAGGTTGTAGGGGAAAAGGAACTACTGGTGGGAGTGTAAACTAGTACCATGATGATGGAAATCAGTATGAAGTCTCCTCAAACATATTACTCAAATATTACTACCATATGACACAGCTACACCACTCCCAGGCATATATTCCAAAAACTCTATAGCCAACTACTGAGTTACTTGCACATTCATGCTCATTGATGCTCTATTCACAACAGCAAGGAAATGAAAGCAGCTTAGATGTCATCAACTAATGAATGGATAATCAAAATTTGGTGGAGTTAGAAAATATATTGAGCCAGGCGGTGGTGGTACATGCCTTTAATCCCAGCACTCGGAAGGCAGAGGTAGGTGAATCTCTGTGAGTTTGAGACCAGCCTGGTCTACAAAGCTACACAGAGAAACCCTGTCTCAAAAAACAAAAAGAGGGAGTGGACAGAGGGTCAACTGAACATAAGCATGTAGGAAAATATCATATGGAAACTACTTTATAAAGTAAAATTTTTAAAGGTAGAAAATATTTAAGAAACAATACCTGAATACACACACACACACACACACACACACAGAGAGAGAGAGAGAGAGAGAGAGAGAGAGAGAGAGAGAGAGAGAGAGAGAGAGAGAGAGGATTAACCAAATAATCAGATCAAAAGGGTTAATATGAAACGTAGGGAACATTCACCAGGGAGAAAATTTATGAAACTACCTTAAGTAAGATGACTAGAGCAATTGCATCAGTGTGGCCCAGAAATCCCACCACACATAACCCATCTAATGTATTAGTAAGGATATTTCTGCCTCTGTTGAAGCTGCAGACAGCTGCTCTGGAGAAATTTCTACACGGTCCTTTCTCTTGTCAGAACGTCGCAGGATGATGACAGAATGGATGTGAACAATTCTGATGGTATCCATCTAAGGGAAAATCCAAAGAAATGGTTATTTCTCTCTCTGGCCAATTATACTTCTTTTTCCAATTTCCTGTAAGTATTAAAGTGGCAGTAGAGAATTTCAATTTTAAAAACTGTTGCTTTTCTTATTAATGATGCAATCACACACACACACACACACACACACACACACACAATTTTTCAGACAGTTTCAAGTCCAAGTTGGCCTCCAACTTGCTGGGTAGCGGGATAGCTGGGGCTGGTCTTGAACTCCTTCCAGATCCTCCTACCTGTACCTTCCAAGTGCTGCAGTTACAAGCATACATAACTATTCTTAGTTAATAAACGTTTTCAATGCATCATATCCCAATCAAGATATATATATATATATGTATATATATATTTCAGAGTATTTAGATCAAGGATGTACTTTTTGAATAATCATCTAATATGTGCAAAATGCATTTTCATTTGAAGTAATATAAAACAGAGTTCTAATGCTAATAATATGGTTAAGGAGAAAGTATAATACATAAAACTACACTAAAATTGTGAAGAAAGTCAATGTTTAGAGGAAGAGTAATTTATATTAGAAAAAATATTCATAGAGAAAGCAGGCAAATATATATATATACATATATATATATTTGTTGATGGATGCCTGTGGACATATAGAATTCCTACAGTTGCCAAGTGGGTATAAGAGCTACAGAAGAGGTAAAGTGTGAATAAAATGTTTGGGAGACAGGTTGGTTAAATGATGTAATTGTAGGACTTGAGGTAGAATAGAAGATAGCAAGACTAAGAAAAGACAGAATGAAAGGATATACACAGTTTCTAATGTCATGTAGTTGATTTCAGGATGAACCGGATGGAAATTAAATATGGAAATGATTTTCTGGTAGTATTTAAGCTTAGGCTCAAGCAGAATCAGTTTGGAAATCATCAAAATTTTCGTGAGGCAGCAAAAAAAAATGTATGGAGAGTGGAGCCACAGGTCTGGGCCTATATCAAGAGGGGTGCCAACATTTAGAATAGTTTAGAGAAAAAAGGCAAAGAAGACATAAGGAGCTGTGAAATGGTTCAAGTTTGGGATCGGGTAGGGCAGCTGGCTTTCAATGAAACAAGTAGCAAGACAAAGATGAAATCTGAAAAAAAGAGATGAAATCTGAGAGGAAATTTTTGTCATAAGCTATGACCTCTCTACTATATAATATAAAATCCATTAGGCACAGCTCTTAGAATATGTCAAGTCTGATTTTAAATGAGCCATAAATATGATACCCACTGTTATTAAAAGGTTTAATACAAAAAAGAGAAGGGGAAGAATGTAAAATATCTCAATATTTCTTAAATATTGACTGTATATTGAAATACTTTAGACATTAGAACTAAATAAAATATACCTTTATATTAACATTATTTTCATCCTTTTGCTGTAGTTACTTACTAAAGAAAATGTGAATATAGTTAAGAGAGCAGTCAGCATTTTGGTATGAAAAACTATCCTTAATAGACAAAAATCAAGAGAAGGTATCATTTGCATAGCAAATACTGACTATTCTTTTAATAAATAAAATGTTACTTAAGGAATAACCTGTTCTTTTTATTCTTGTCTTTTGACAAGGTCTCACTCTATAGCCCAAGATATGCAACTCACTATGTAGCTTTGGTTAGCCTGAAACTTACATTAATCCTTTCCATGGTCTCTTGAGTGCTGAGATTACAGATGTCAGCCACCTGGCTTTATAATTTGTTGAAAACACAACACAGTTCTAGAGAGCTTATATCTCAGAAGGTTGTTATGCCTTTGTATGATTCAGTTACTTAGAGTTTCCATAAATCATGTGTTCCTATTTTGGGGGTCAGTGGCTTTTTACACATTCTCCCTTCTGTGTAAATATTTTTACCTAGTAAGCTCTTTCATATTAAGTTCCTGACCATACTACAAATATCTAATCATTTTCCCCTCATATGTATTCTTTCATAACAGATATGCACTTATTTCCACTACAACACACATTGTGTTCTATTTATTTTCACACTTTTCTCCTGTACTAGAATACAAGCTTCTCAAAAGCAGGGGCCATATTTCATTTATGATTTTCTTTTTTGTTGTTGTTGCTGGGTTTTGTTTTTGTTTTGTTTGTTTGTTTTTTGAGACAGGGTTTCTATGTATTGCTTTGGAGGTTGTCCTGGAACTCGCTCAGTAGACCAGGCTGGTCTGGAACTCATAGACATCCACCCACCTCTACCTCCCAAGTGCTGGGATTAAAGGTGTGCGCCACTAATGCCCAGCCATTTAGAGTTTCTTACCAGCAACTAGTACAATGTGAGGTGGGCATAGAGCAGAAGAAAAATAAAACTAGGAGCAGAGACAGATATATCCCCTCTCAAAGAATAATGAGACAAACAACTGAATTTTCAACAGAAACTATGAAATCCCAAAGATTATATCTTAGAAAACTAAAATAAAATACATGAAAACTAAGAATTCTATACTCAATACCCTGAGTGAAATGGCAGACTCTAGATATCCCCTAGGTGGAAGGAATTGGCAATAGGGTGGGAGGATGGTGGGGGGGGATGGTGGGGGGGTGCGGGAGGAGGGGAGGGAGAGGGAACTGGGATTGACATGTAAAACAAGCTATTTAAAATTAAAATTTTTAAAAAAGTAAAAAAAAAAGAATGTATCCTTTAAACTGCAAACAAAATAAAGACATCTTCAGATGCCTAATACAAAGAATATAGTATCAGGACAGAAATGTTACAGTTCTTCAGACAGAAAGATAATTCCAAAAAATGAAGGAATGATTAAGTGCCATAAAATATTTGTATAAACACCATGAATACAGTGTACAAAAATGTAATAGCGATGCTAAATAAAGCTTAAAATACATATAGAATTAAAATGCATGACAATAATCCAAAAGGTAGTAGGGTAAAAATTAAAATAAAAAAATGTTCTAAAGTTTTAGTACAAATACTTCCCAACTTATGATTGTTCAACCAAGGATCTTTCAGCTTTACATTGATGGAGATATGGTATACATTCAGCAGAAACTGTACCTCAAATTTAAATTTTCTCCTGGGCTGTCGACAAACATGTAACATAATAGACTTTTGCAATGCTGAACTGCAGTTTTCAGTAAGCCAGACAATCATGAAGATAAACAATGGATACTGCACAGTGTGCTAGGGTGTTTGGTACTTTAAGTATATTATACACTTGGGGGTCTAGGATATTTTCAACTTATAGTGAGTTTATTAAGATATAACAAAATTGTATTGTTGGAGAGATGGTAAAAGTAGTTGTATTAAATATAACAAATGAAGACTACATATTGTAATATGTAGGAGAACAATTAAAACATAAAAGAATATTAAAATAAATGGAAGGTCAAAATAGAATAATAAAATATATTTGATTAACAGAAAAGATAAAACAAATAATGTAATATAAAAGGTGGATTAAGTGGGAAGCAAAAGAATGGCAACTGTAATTCATATACATTAGCAACTATTAAAAATAACAAACTCCAAATAAAAAGATCATCAGACCAGATTTTTATATGCTGCTAATAAGAACTATTATTGGTATACAGACAGGCTAAAATCAAGAAAAAACTTTACAAAAGAGTAGTGATAAAGGAAGACATAGAATAAGTAGATTTTTCCTTTTTGAAAATAAGAATGATTTAAGTATAGCATTTGTAGTCTAATGTGACTTTTTCTAAAAGAAATATTTATTTATGTACTTTATGTATATGAGTGTTTTGTCTGCATGTACATTTGCACACCAGAAGAGGGCATCAGATCCCATGGGACTACAGTTATAGATGGTAAGGAGCCACCATGTGGCTGGGTACTCTTAAACTCTGATCCATCTCTCCAGCTCCTGTAACATTTATTTTTAAATAGAAGTGTAATAGTTAATCTGGGTTGTCAACTTGGCTGGATTGAGAGATGCCTATGGTAACATTAGGGAAGTTCACTTCTGGTGTGCCTATTCCAGCATCATTTTCAGAGAGGACTGATTTACAGGAGAGTAAGAGGGGAATGTCCCTCCCTGGGTGTGGATTCTCCATAAAGTAGTCTGGGAGCCCAGGCAGAATTAAAGAAAAGGAAGAGAAAGCCTGACTGGGAAGCCTAGTCCCATCCTTCCTGAAGCAGTGTGTGTAGCACTGTCATCATCACTCATGGCCAACAGAATTCAGAGACGTCCACTGGAGATGCCCAGCAGATGCACACCAGGGAGCTTCCAGGCCTGGATTGGGGCTGCTTTACTTATCCTCCTTGAGCAGAGGCTTCCAGCTTGTCAGTTTAGCTAATATGAATCATCTCACTCTGCAGCATGCAGAAAGTCATTTTGAACCACCAGCTCCCCAACTGGGAAAGACATCCTATAAATTGCCTTTTATAACAAATATCATAGAGAGGGAAAGAAAGAGATCTCAATTCTATTGCTTCTGATCCTCTAGAAATTTTTAACACAGGAAGATGGCTTAAGTGGTTATAGTGAAGTTTGTATATAAAGATAATAAGTAGATGTTTTGCCTAATAGCTTGGAAAAAGGATAAGAAACAAGTATTTTTATTGTAGTTTACAGAATCATTAGGCTCTGATATATTGAAGGAAAACCTAACTGGTTTTTATAAATTAGCTTAGAAAATGGCAGGACAAATGGGGTGGGAGTGCACACTCAGGAGAAAAGACAGTGGTCTAAAAATCATAACACCATCAATAGATTTCCTATGGGAAGTATGAATAGACCATTTGGGAGTGGGTAAAAAGGTAAAAAGAATATGAACCCAACCTCAAAATCTTAAGGAAAGTGGGAGAATCAGAGTAATGTTGATCACATTATTCCTGTTGATCAAGTAAAGTTCCTACAAAGAACAAAAACTAACTAGGACCCATTCTAGTGAGTTTTTTATCTGATTTTAGCAGAAAAGAAAACATGCTGCACAATTACAAAGTAGATTAAATATCCTGGCTGAAGCCATCAAACAGACTGCAGAAATTCTTCCCCAACTGCAAATTTCCATCATGCAAAATTTTATCATACATACCTTTTCTGCAACTGTGCGCATTTCAGTCCCAGTGTACGTGAATTTGGAGTCACTCCTATTGGAGATAGATTAGAAAAGGGGGAACTGGGGTTTGGAATAGAAAAGGGAGTCAAGGAAAAATAAGATAAACAGTTTTTGCAATGCAACCTTAGTTGAAACAAAAGAAGGGGAAGGGGAACAGACTAGACTCCAGTTATTAAGGAGGGGGCCTGATAAACAACAAGCTATGCTTTGCAGTTTAAACAAAGGGGACCCAAAGATTTTTATCATCTCTCAAGCTTTCAAGTTACTAGGAACCTCTAGGATCCCTATAGGGTTTACAGGGGGGGGGGGGGAGTAGTGAACAGAAATCCACTGACGATTTAGATGAAGGAATGGATCAACAAGGGAAAATCATCTCAATCTGTGAACACTATCTGCTATAATGAAAGTTACTGGCATATCCCTGACATTTCAGAGGAGAATGTAAAGTACAAAGGAAGAAAATGGAAATCAATAGAACTAAATGGCAAGTATATTGATAGCTATTTTTATTTCAGTCAACAAAGTTCTATTCATGGACATATCATGCAGTAACCAATTGGGCTCCTGGAGCTCCAACAAAATTCTATTTATAAGAACTTTTTACAGGTTCATATATGATGTTGGTTCTTTCAGTCAGATTTTTCCACATGGGAGTTTAAATATCTCAAATAATATATAAAGTTAAAATGAAACTTTAGGACTGTGGTGGAACTCAGATTGTATTGTTGAGGGTGCTCTGTACTATGATAACATACAAAGCACACACACTATTACCGAAGTTTGTTACAGCTCTTCACTAATAATCAGTTTAGAGATTCTAATATGATGTAAGTAAACAAATATAGTCTTACCTTATATCATCATTCAACTGGAGTAGGAAAGAGCAGAAAACATTACTGACACATTATTTGGTTATAGGTATGCAAATTTACATGAAAAATAGGTCATATGTTCACACACAACAGTATGAAAGACTGGAGAATTCAATGTAAGCACTTTACTACACTCACTGTACTTCCTCATCTAGTTTCACACCTCTGTATCATTTTGCCTCAACAGAGACTTTGGAGTCCACGAAACCCTTCTGACCTGAGTACTATTAAAATGCTTTAGTGATGGCCTGCTTTCCATAGAGAAAACTGGTGGCGGTGGGGTGCTTGTTTTCTCATACATCGATACCCTCATTATATCCAGAATGTGTTATTGGCCTGATTTGATGCTTTGGTCATAACCCCCACCCCCGTGTACCGCTTAGGGTTTGCAGGAGCGTAAGCATGGATCAGAGGTCTCCAGAGGAAAAGGATCCCGAGACAGCATTAGAAAACGCAAAGGACCCAAATCGCGTTCCTGTGACCTACCAGCCTCTTCAGGGACCACTGGGTACTTCAGGATTTCAGCAGGGTTGGCGGACCTACTTACCTCCCCTATACATAGACCCATCACCTCCTCCTTTTCAGTGCTCAGAGCGTGGTTGAGACAAACTAGGAAAGCGTCAGACTCAAGATGAACCGCTTGCACAGCGTGTACCACCTGCACCGCCATCTTTGTCAGTTGCACTCACGTCCGTCTAGGGCCCACAGCAGCCTGGCCTACGACGTGCTCTGTGACGCAGCCTTCCCAGCCCCAGCGCACTATGCTCCGCCCAGGCCTGGCCTAGCCGCGCGGGTTCCACGAGGGCGGAGCCTGGGGCGCGGAGGCGGTGCCTATTTAGCAGTACCTGCGAGACTCTCGGGTTGGTTTGGACTGGCGAAGCCCTGGGACGCTGGGTGTTGGCTGGCAAAGGCAGTCTGCGCGGCAGTTCAGGCCGCTTGGCGGCTGGGTGGCGGGGAGGCGGTGTTTTTCCGCCGGGGCAGACGTGTGCTGTGAGCAGCTCCCAGGAGCAAGGGCAGACACCTCCATATTGCTGTCGCCCATTTTGCCCGCCTGATAAGGAAAACCCTGCGCGGCCTACACGCATCAGGGACAGACAGCTCTTTGGGGCGACATCGCCGCGAACAACGGCCTCTTTTGAAAATCGGTCCTAAAACAGTTAAGGTTTTATTTTATTTTGTTTTATTTCCAAGTCACAGCCCTTGAATCTCTCTGGACCACTTCCGGCTGCTGGCCTGACTTCCTAACTTCGGTTCTAGTGACCTCGGCTCGGGATGCCCCTTGATTCGTCCTGGGCTCAAGTCGCGATCCCTGCTTGAGTGTCCCGGGGTGGGGGACCTGGAAGTTTTAGCCTAGCTGTTCTGGAGGAGGAGTAATTAGTCCAAGAAACATTATATTCATGTGAGTAACCTTTTACAGAAACAGTGTTTTGCTGTGTCTGAAAAAGTAACTCCAGTTTGCTTGTTGTTACTTTTTACAGAAGCCTTTAGATGTATGTTTGTTTGATACAGTAAAAGAAAGATTGAGAGAAGGACTTCACTTTTTATTCAAGTTTGAATGTATCACATCAAGTAACTAATTCTAGGAAATTATAAGTTTCCTCTGGAAGCCAGACAGGTATGGCAGTACTTGAAGAGGTGCTGATGCTTTGCTCTTGTCTCCCAAGTCAGTTCCAACCCAAGTCTCCCCACTAATACTGTCCCAAATCTAGGGCACTGTGGTGCAATATATATGCCAACAACCTCTCTTTTTTACCTTATACTTATGCCACATCTTTCCATGATTAAGTTTCATAATGATAAAGGTTGGAGAAACAGCAGGGGTGTAATTGAACCTATCTGCATTTTCTCTTTAACTTTCAATTTTATGTCATATATTTTCAGCTATTGTCCATAGTTAACATGTCCTGCCTTGGTGGGGCAGCAAGGACTGCTCATCTTACTACATTTGCTTAAGGGATATTTTTGAATTTATCAATTTGTTTAGCCACCTTCAAGAAGAAATATACTCTTACTGGTTTTTAGTCAGTCTCAGTCTAGAATGTTCATGCTACCTTTTATAGCTCCAAACATTTGACCAGAGAGGGAAATAATGATTACATTATAGCAAGCTTATATGCTAAAGACTCTACTAAGAATTTATATACATAGTGTGTACAAACTGCCTTAACTGGAATCAAGTTCTGCAACTTCTAGCTATGTGAATTAGTGTACTGGCTATCTAATTTCTCTGTGTCTTACTTTCATTATCTTTAATTGGGAATAATACCAATGCCCATCTCATAGCATCCCATGAAGATCAAATGGGTCAATGTGCCTAAACATACATTTTTGTTTTTGCTTTTTGTTTGTTTTGTCATTTGTTTTTCAAGACAAGGTTTCTCTGTGTAACAATCCTGGGGGTCCTGGAACTCTGTCTGTGAACCATGCTGGCCTTGAACTCAGAAGTCAGCCTGCTACTGCCTCCAAGTGCTGGGATTAAAGGTGTGTACCACCACCACCACCACCACCACTACCACCACCACCAGGCACCTAAACATATGTTAAACATATGAGAAGTGTTTAATAAGTACCACTGCAGTCAATATGCTCATAATTTTACACCTCAGGGAAAGATTAGGTTGTCTGAGGGTCACAAAGCTTCTAAGTGGCACAAGCAAGATTCATTCATCAGTCAAGCTGATACCTGGGTCTGTGTTCTTTGGCAACTGAAATTATAATTGGATGAGGATATTAAATGGCGTCAAATAATTCACATGTTCAACTTATTAATGCTATTTAAAAACTCAAATACCTCAAAATTAAAGCAAACCATACTCTTGTAAAGAAAAATTACAAGCTGGGCAGTGGTGGTGCACACCTTTAATCCCAGCGCTCAGAGGGCAGAGGCAGGAGGATCTCTGAGTTCAAGGCCAGCCTGGACTACAAAGCTACACAGAGAAACCTGTCTCAGAAAAAAAAGAAGAAAAACACACAAAACCATTCTTTCTGTAAAGGAAAAAAAGATGGTTTTATTTAAATTTCAACCAAAGAAAGTTCTTCTGTATTCTGTCATTCATTTAGAACCTGATTTACAAAATGTCTAAAAATAATGTGTCTAGCCGGGCGTTGGTGGCGCACGCCTTTAATCCCAGCACTCGGGAGGCAGAGGCAGGCGGATCTTTGTGTGTTCGAGGCCAGGCTGGACCGATAGCCTCCGAAACAATACAGAGAAACCCTGTCTCGTAAAAACCAAAAAAAAAAAAAAACAAACAAACAAAAAATAATGTGTCTAGGTCAATATGGCACTTGGAATCAAGGCATCTTCTATGGAGGCCATCTCTTTTAGTGGATATTATAGCTGTGAAGTTATACAAACATATTTTGAGATGCATTTGTGTCTAAAACTGGTAGTACTTAAAGTTTAATCGCATAGATTTATATTCCATGTATTGTATTGTATCTTGTAACTAAATTTATCCTGCATTTTTAAGATATTCCTTAGTTTGGAGAATCTTCAATTTTGTGAATAAATACTATATGCCAAAATGTTCTCTAGTCAAATAAAGTTGGGAAATGTTAAACTATATAAAATCTCTATACACTATAACTTTGTTGGAGTTTTTACTATACTAATATGATTTTATAATCTCCAATATTCCCAAACTTATTTGACCAAGGAAAATGTTGGGATCAAGTGTTCTAATGAATCACATTTATGGAAATGATGTTCCATTCATCCAACATGTGATTTTTATAGACTTTGATCTACATCCCTTTTGCTTAGCCTTTGCCTCTATATACTGAAGGTGTTTTCATCATTATGTGGTGGCTTATCAGTCCCTTGATTACTGCAGTTGGCTTTCTCTGGGCCATTATGCTCTGAATGATAGCACACAGAAATCCAGGCTAATGTGCCTAAGTGTTGTTCCCAGGCTCATCTTGTCAGTGCCCAGCCTGTTAACCTTTGGAGGTCACAACAGCACATTATGCTGCCTTTCTTCTGAGAATATTTTGTAGTGTCTCAGTAATTCAGAATATCACATGCTATCTGCCCTCTCTTCCACTGAAATTCTTTCCTTCCAATGTCAGTATGACCAATAAAGTTTTGTTTTTATTCAAAAGAAATTTAAATGTCAACATGTTGGTTGTTGCTAGGACCTATCTATGAAGTTGAGATTGTCTTGAAACCCTTAACAGTTGGTTCCTGCTTTTTAAAAATGTGTGTGTGTGTGTGTGTGTGTGTACACACTCATTTTTATTTTTATATTGGAATTTACTGGGGGTGTTGTATATATTTCTAAAGCTCTACAAGAGAGGCAGAATACTTGCTAAATGAAAAAAATGTCTTACAAAATGTATACCTGGAGACTCATGCATTTTAGGCAGATAGAAAGGCAGAGCAAGGGTATGCAGCTTGAAACAACCCTAGTATTTGAAAGAAATTTTGGTTTGGATACAGTGATAATGGTAATATTTGCTGGAATTGATGACATTGGGTGTATCAACTGAATGAGAAGAAGAAATGTAGGATAACTTGTAATTTTTGAGTGTACAAAATAGGTGATATTGCCATACAGAAAGTAGGGTTTGGCTAAGGAGAAAGGATGCTATCATAAATAAGTTGGAAATGACAGAGTGCATCCAGTTGAAAAAGGGAACATGTAAGAGGTTCAGAGTTACAATCACTCAGGGAATAAATGGATAACTATCATACCTATTTATTTGTCACAAAACTGTGACCCCCCCCCTCTCATTTTTTGAGACAGGGTCTCCTTATGTAGTTAACCAAGAGCTTAGCTATGTATGCTAGTTGGCCTCAAACTTACTATATGTATATAGCCCAGACTGGCCTGAACCTTGCTCAGGCTCTGGCATGCTCAGATTTCAAGCATGGACCAACATACCCATTTTGAAACAATACTTTCCTTTTAGGGGTAGACAAAAAAAAATGGCATTAAAGCGAAAAAATCAAATTCAGGATGGTATCCTTGAAAAAGGGACTAGGTTTAGCTTCATTCCTTTATTTCTTGCTTCTTCTTATTTCATATCATGATTGACATCTGATTTGCTCTGGACAGTATCACTTTGAAGACTGTAACAATCTCCCAAACTATGCTTCATTTCCTTTCCCACTAATAGCTATTTATTAGGAACGGGGACCTCTATTGTGGGACAGGTACCCACTGATTTATTTGTGCCCTATTAACGGTAGGAATATAGTGAATCTGCATTATGATGGTATGAGTGGTTTCTACAAGATTGTAAAATGAATTGAAATTATGAGATCCAAAGCTGGGCATAGGACTATTATGGAGAGTTTCCTTGCCACCGAAAACTCTGAAAACTCTACTTTATTTACATCTCTTAGAGAGCAGAGAGATATTTTTGACCTTCTAATTCATAGAATAAAAATTTACAACTGTGCCTTTGGAAAAGCAGGCTTCTGTGACATCCTGCTTAAGTGAACCAGGGAGCTAGGTGGATGGCTATTATTTGCTTTCAGAAAATAATGAAACTACACTATTTTTCCTAAAATGAAAATCCCTTTCTGGATAAGCCTTGCTAGTATAAACAACTTTTTAAATAAAATGATAGATGTTTCCTTTGCCCTTATAACAAACTTAATCTCATTTTAGAAACTTTTTTAAAATGTAAACTGCTTAAGAGTGGCTTTTATATGAGGAACATAGCTTGCATGTGTCTGTTTCACGACTTTTCTGCCGAAATCATGTCCTTAGGTACACTTTTGTGCATTTTCTATTGCTAACACACTACCATTGACTGCTGCTTTGTAGATGCAAAAGAGGGAGGGAAACCAGTACCCAGCCTCCTGCAGTTCTCATCTTACCTCCCCACGGAATGAATTTAGAATTCTTGAGTGCTTTGCCATAGAAAGTTATTATTACCTAGGATTTGCTTTAGTGTCAATTCAGTTTCATTTTCAGAAAGCTTAAAATGACATTTGATATGTTTAGGTTGCACAAATAGACATGTATGAGGCTTGGTTCTGGTTGGTGGTGGCTAGTCCCAGGTCACCTTGCTCACTAGTGAGTTCATCCAAACCTCAAAAGTCACACCTGTGTCCTGTGCGCGGATGCTGCAGGCTTAGGTGGAGAAAAGCAGGGCTAGAATTGGAACCCAAAGCCCAGAATGGCAAGAGAGGATGTGGGGGCTCCACCCGATCATCTCTGGGTTCACCAAGAAGGTGTCTACCGCGACGAATATCAGCGCACATGGGTAGCTGTGGTGGAAGAGGTAACTGCTTTCATTTAAAATTTTTTTTTTGCTTTTGTTTTCAAGTAACCTGGTTTCTGTGTAGTCTCTGTATTCTGATGTCCTTGGTTTTGTTTTTGATCGTTCCTATTAGGAGACAAGTTTCATAAAGGCTCGAGTCCAGCAAGTTCAGGTTCCCTTAGGTGATGCAACTAAGCCAAGTCACCTTCTTACTTCCCAACTACCTCTCATGTGGCAACTCTACCCAGAGGAGCGCTACATGGATAACAACTCTCGCTTGTGGCAGATTCAGCATCATTTAATGGTACACATTTTGCTCAGTCATTTTCCCCCTTGTACATGGGATCTTACAACAGAATATAAACTTTGCTTTTTCTGACAGGTCAGGGGAGTACAGGAACTACTGCTTAAACTTTTGCCTGATGATTAACCTGGTATGTGTTTCTATTTTGTTTTCTCCTTTCCCTTCTTTGTTTTCACTCTATTCAGTTGTAGTGATTTGAATGATTTTTTTTTCAGGTGCTGGAATTCTAGGAAGATATGCTCCTCTGTTCTATTCATTATATGGCAATCACATCATTCACCACTGCAGTGCTCCAACCCATGGCACCGGGTGGGGAAGAAGTAGTCTGAAAAACTAAAGATGTTTAGGAAGGGCCATGAAGAACACTGCTAGTGACACTACAGAGAGAGGGTTACACAGGGCAGTAATCAAGGCAACAAAAGCATTTAGTCAGGAAATGTAACTTGAAATTGACTCCTTTGGAAATTGCCATAGAACTTTTAATGGACTTCATCGGCTGAACCTGGGATCTGGTGAATCTCACAAAAATCAGCGTTTGCTACAGAACAAATGCCCTCACCACCAAGGACTTGGTACTGATTTAAAGAGAAGAGAGCAGCTTCTATCAGCATCAACATGTGCTTGCCACTTATTTCCGCTTCAGCAAATTCACCTGCCTTTCTTTCCTCCATCCTGTAAATATCTGAGGTTTTGCTTTAGTGTTTTCCATTCCAGTACTGACCTAATTTGGATCTACTGAGAACTTAAGGAGTTCTGGGAGAAAAGGGTTATTTGTACTGATGAAATTAGCTTCAAAGGCTCCTATGCCTTTCTTTTTGAAACTGTGTCTTTGAATTGTTTTTGCAAGTTTCTCATCAAAACCTTGTGAATCTAAATTCTTTGATTTCAAATATTTTACATATTTTGGCTTCCATTTGAGCTCAAAAGATGGTATTAACTTTAATTGGCACTTTTCTCAAGAGGTAATAGCAACAAACATTGCTAATTCCTGGGAAAGTGTTTATATTACTTGTAAAGAATTTCCTGAATTAAAGCAGTCATGACAATTTATGTATATTAAAGTAAGGTTTTTCTTTTTAAAGTAAGTCTTGGACCCAGACCAATAGTGCATGCCTATAATCCCAGCTATTTGGAAGACAGAGGCAGGATGATCACTTGACCTCAGGAGTTTGATATCAGTCTAAAACAAACAAAAAGCACTTGGGTATAATAGCGTACTATGTATTGAGTTCTTGTTGCTTCCCAGTTACTGTTCTGTGCATTTTATATATTTTATCATGATTATCCTTTCATCAGTTCTTAGAGGTACGTATAATTCCTATTGACATGAATAGTGAAAGAAAAAGGTGTTTAAGAAGTTTAATCATTTGCCAAGGGTTTCTTTTGTGAATCATAGAACCAGGCATTGGGCCAGGCATTTAAAACTGTGGTGTCATTTAAACATTTGTTTACAATATTCAAGATGACTACACTGAAATTTTTCATGCTATATCTTCCATACTTAATGAGATGGAAATATAAAAATAGTTGACTCATCCTATCAATTAAGAAAGTATTTTTAGAACAATTGTTTTTTCCAGCAATTATGCGGTCATTCTACTTTCCCCAGAAGAAAATTCCAAGTAAATAGGCATCAAGGTCTTTATAACTAAAAAAGCAAAATTGTAATAATTTTTTTTTTGTTTTAGTTTTCTGGATATGCCACAAAAGGATCCATGCCAGAAACAAGCCTGTGAAATACAGAAATGTTTACAAGGTAGTATATAGATTTTTTAAAAATAATATTTTGAAACTTTACCTGTCAATTAACTATAAGAAACTATGTTATCAGCAACTTTTATTAACTTTAAATGTAACATCTCTATAATTAACTAATCATAAATATTTTCATCATTGTATCATGAAATGTTTAGAATATTAAAAGTGGTGTTATATAGGGAATGGGAGAATGCAGTGGTAGAGCACTTGCCTAACTTGTGCAAAACCCCAAGGGTTCTGTCCACCACACATATAAGCTATGGGTTCTTGAGTTCCATTTGTACATTAGAATTACCTAACTTTTTGTTGTTGTTTTGTGAGATGGGGGTTTCTCTGTGTAACAACCCTGGCTACCCTGGAACTCATTTTGTAGACTGTGCTGACCTCAAATTCAGAGTTCCACACCTGCCTTTGCCTCCCAACTGTACCTGAAGAATATTAAAAAATTGTCTAGCACACTTAAAGCAGACGTCCTGAAAGTAGGGTCTGAACAGGAATCATTTTACAAAGCTAAACAAGTGATTTTAATGCACAAGCACAGTTAAGAATTACTGAGCTAAGCAAAAAGTCCTTCTATAAAAAGACTGGTTTGGAATTGAGGTTGTGGCTCAGGGATAGAGCACTTGCCCAGAATGTACTGGGCCCTAGTTTCCAGCATAAACACTGTTTGTATACACAAACAGAAAGAGCCAAGCATGATAGTGCATACTCATAATCCCAATACCTTGGAAATAGAATCAGGAGGAAAACAGGTTCAAGGCTGGCCTGGACTACAAAGTGACAGCCTATCTCATATACATACACACACACACACATACATATATATATATATATGTAGAGAGAGAGAGAGAGAGAGAGAGAGAGAGAGAGAGAGAGAGAGAGAGAGAGAGAGAGAGAGAGAGAGGTTTTAATACTAGACCTCAGGGACTAGGAATTAGTTCAGTGGAGAACTAATTGCCTAGTATTCATGTGGTCCTCAGTTTGGTCCCCAGCCAACCTATTCCAACAAGTTTGGGGCATCTGTTTCAAAATTCAGGTGGCTATACCTGTGTGATTTACTAATACGTGAACTCAAAGGTATAAAATGGATTTATTAAGAATTGCACTGAAAAGGACAAACTCACAAAATACATAGAAGGGATGAAGCTGCCGCTGATCCCGCACTGCCTCGCTGACATTTGGATCTCCCTCATGCCAAGCAAGAGCCAGAGCAAGAATGCCTGAGACCCTATCCTTCAGCTTTTAAGTTGTTGTATAGGCTTGCTGCCCCAAAAATCATTGGCTAAATGGATCAAAATCCCACAACAGTTTACTTCTGGACCCTCTGTTGCATTCCATTAATTTTTCTCAAGATTGCTTTGGCTACTCGAGGTCTTTTGCTCTTCCATATAAGTTTTAATATTTTTTCTAGTTTTCTGAAAAACATTATTGACATTTTAGTGGTGATTACATTGAGTCATTTTATCAATATCCTACACATCTATGAACATGGGAGGTCTTTCCATTTCCCAATGTTTTCAATTTCTTCTTCAGTGTTTCATAATTTTCATTGAAAGATCTTTTTTTTGACCTTCTTAGGAATGTTCATAGGCATTTTACTTTTTGAGGTTATTGTTTTCCTGATTTATTTCTTTAGTGGGTTTATTAGTATATAGAAAAGCTACTGGTTTCTATATGTTTACTTTGTATTCTGATACTATGCTGACTTTATCAGTCCTAAAGCTTTTGATGGAGTCTTAGGCATTTCTAAGTATATAATAGTATTTTAAATGGGAATAATTTGACTTCCTGCTTTCCTATTTGTATTTATTTTATTTCTTTCTCTTGCCTGATTTCTCTGCTTAACATTTTAAGTACTATATTAAGTAAAGGTAGAGAGAATGGAAACCCTTTTCTAGAGGAAAAGATTGCTTTCAGTTTTCCCCTATTCAGTATGATATTGGCTATAGGTTATATTTAGCATTTGTTATGTGAAGATACAACCCTATTATACCTAGTTTCTTTAGGGTTATTTTATATGAAAGGATGTTGAATTTTATTGAATGCCTTTTTTCTACATCTATTGAGGTGTTAGTGTGGTTGTTTTGACTCTATATATTGTATTTATTGATTTCTGTATGTTAAACCATATTTGCATCCTTGAAATGAAACAATCTCTTATCGTTGGTGTCACTGAATTAAGTTTTAAAATACTTAACTTAGGCTTTCTACATGTATGCTCATTAAAGGATATTGGTTTGTAGAATAAATATGAAAGAATTCTTTCCCTTTATTTTATTGTATATGGTATTTTGCATGCACATATGTCTGTGTGTCACATGTGTGCCCGGTGCCTACAGAGGACAAAAGAGGGTTTTTAGATCGCCTAGAACTGGAGCTACAGACAGTTGCGAGCCATCATATGGATGCTGTGAATCAAACCCAGGTCCTCTAGAATAGCAGCCAGTGCTCTTAACTGCTGAACTATCTCTCCAGCCCCACACTTTCCCTTTCTATTTTATGGTGTAGTCTGTGGACCATTGGTGTTAGTTTTTTTGTTTTATTATTTTTTTTATTTTTTTAAAGAAAAATTATTTTGATAAATTGCTTTTTTTATCATTTTTTATTTTAATTTTAAATAGCTTGTTTTACATGTCAATCCCAGTTCCCTTTCCCTCCCCTCTTCCCGCACTCATAGTTGTAAAGCATCTGTATGGCTTGTATAAAACCCTAAATTCAATCCACACTACCAAATATGTCAGGGTTTGTGCTTTTCTTTGATGGGAGTTTTTTTTTATTATACTTTCATTCTCATTGCTTGCTATTAATTTATTTAGATTTTTCATATTTTGGGGTTCAATTTTTATAGGTTATATATGCAGAAATTTGTTCATTTTCTTAGACTTATAAATTTATCGATATATCAATTTTCAAAATATTCATTATTTCAGTTGTTTCTAGTGTAAAATTCCTTTTGTCTCCTATTATTATTATTGCAATTATTATTGTTATTATTGCTGCTGCTGTGGCACTGGAATTGAACATGGTGCCTTGTGCAAACATTCTAACAATGAGTTATACTTGAATATCTCATATTACTTTTTATTTTTTTATTTTTTTTTTGGTTTTTCAAGACAGGGTTTCTCTGTGGCTTTGGAGGCTGTCCTGGAACTCGCTTGGTAGTCCAGGCTGGTCTTGAACTCACAGAGATCCGCCTGCCTCTGCCTCCCGAGTGCTGGGATTAAAGGCGTGCGCCACCAACGCCCGGCTCTCATATTACTTTTTAAACTTTGAAGTTATCCTGTCTAGCTTTGAACACACTCCACAGCCCAGGTAGGTCTTGAATTTGAGATCCTCCTGCCTCAGCCTCCTGGGTAGTTTTGGACTATAGCTCCGTGCCACTGTCTTGGATTTTAATTTTATTAATCTGAGACTGAGTCTTCTTTCTTTTCATTAGTTTAGCTTGTCAATTTTGTTTATCTTTTTAAAAAGTCAACTGTTAAATTAATTTTTTGTGTTCTCCATTAATTTTATACTTTGTTTTTATTTTCTCTCCATCTATTAGTTTTGAGTTTGGCTTGCTTTTGTTTTTTCTAAAATCTTGAGATTCACTCATAGATATTCATACAAGATCTTATTTTTTAATATGGGCACTTATAAACTATGAGTTAAAATACACTATAGATCAAATAGACTTAAAAGACTTGTACAGAATATACTGTCCAACAGCAGCAGAATATGTATTATCTTCATCAGCCTATGGAACTTTCCCTAAGCTAGATCAGGTTGGCTGGCTAAAGGGTATGCTGTTCCCCATTCCAAGAGCTTTTGGTATATACAGCCAGCCTGAGCCACCACTTATATATGTATATAAGTGAGGACTCATTGGAGGCCCTCAGTCTGCATAGCTGGAAGACTGGAAAATGCCCTGGCCACATACTGTATCTCTAGTGACTCAAGAATGAGCACGGAGGCCAACTGATCACTGAGTTCTGAGCTGAAGATTGAGGAATGCAGGAACTAAGCAATCCACAGGTGTTGGTCTTGGCATTCTCAGCCTTAGAACCCATAGTAAAGCACACACCATGGTCACCTTACCTTTGTTTTATAACCCCTTCAAAACCTAAAAAAAAACATTATTAGCTCCCAGTTTTGTTGCATAAGAGGGGGAATTAAATATGACATTCAAGCTGCAGTTTGCTATGAAACTATGAAAATGTGGGTTGTATGCATTTTTTAATTTATCAAATTACAAAATGGGACTAATGGCTACTAATATAAAAAACTACTCTGAAAGGCACTTGACTGAAACAGAAATTACATGTTAAAATAGATTTCAACCACTTATAAATTGTGATTTGTTGTTAGATTTTTAGATAGTTTTTAATGAATTCTCCTTTTACTTTTTGACCTGTTGACAGATTCTAAATCAGAAAGAATTCAATAGAGTTGGGTATATCTTCCTTCTAGGTGCTAAGTGGAAAATGTTTAATTACCTTGTACCGTCCTAGTTCTATGAGATCATTACTAAGAGTTGCCTGTTTTTCAGCCAACAACTATATGGAATCAAAGTGTCAGTCTGTCATCCAAGAACTTCGTAAGTGTTGTGCTCAATATCCCAAGGGAAGATCTCTTGTCTGCTCAGGATTTGAGAAAGAAGAAGAAGAAAATCTTACAGTGAAGTCTGGATCTAAGTAAAGTTGTATTGAGAAGTTAAATTCTGCTTCATGTTTCCCTCAAGTGTATTTTATTTACTACCCCTTCTTCAAGCCAGGCAGCAGCAAGCAGCAAATGAAAAAGCCAATTGTAAGAGTTAGAAAATATGCCATCTATGCAAAATATACCAAAATAACAAATGAAAAAGCCAATTGTAAGAGTTAGAAAATATGCCATCTATGCAAAATATACCAAAATAACCTATGTTAGAAAATAAATATGTATAATGTAAAAGGGAGCTGCTAAAATAAACCTGCTTTACATGAAAATTTTGGTTTGTTACTGAATGTATTTGAAGAGACTATTAGATACAGATATTAGCGAATTCTCCTTTAATCCCCGAATTCAGACTTGTTACCTGTATCTTGACTTTGCTTGCCAAATCTTGGATCTCTGTTGAATATTGATGAGATAAACAGAGGATTGGGTAGAAAATAGAGTTTATTACAGAATAGCATGAAACACTCTGAAGAGTAAGTGGAGAATGGCTAGAGACCATTATGCCAACATACATGTTGAGGCAGATTGTATACTACTTTTTTATGTTTTTTAACCTTTATTTTTATTTTTTTATTTTTTTGGGGGGGTTTCGAGACAGGGTTTCTCTGTATTGTTTTGGAGGCTGTACTGGAACTCACTTTGTAGACCAGGCTGGCCTCAAACTCAGAGATCCACCTGCCTCTGCCTCCCAATTGCTGGGACTAAAGGCGTGTGCCACCAATGCCCGGCTTTAACCTTTATTTTTATTTTATGTGAATAGGTATTCTGCCTACATGTGTGTCTGTATACCCTGTGTGTGTTAATCTTCTAGGAGTGGAGTTACAAACAGTTGTGAGCTGCCATGTGGGTGATGGGAAATGAACTCAGGTCCTCTGGAAAAGCATCCAGTACTTTTAACCTCTGAGCAGTCTCTCCAGCTCTGATTGTGTACTATTTTCTAAGCTTCTAGAACAGGCAGCTTTCCCAGGGGTATTTCCCTGTCCTGGTGATTGGTAGGCTCATTTGGATTAATTTGCAAGAATGACTTTGTTCTTTACCAGAAAGCCCCTGACTAGATAGTAATCTTGTGATCTTCCCAACAGTTCAGAATGCAAAATGTAATATACCCACAGCCAAAGGTACTCAGATCCCATTCTTTGGATCAGTAATCAAAGCCCCACAGTTTCAGTTCCTGGTTTTACAACCTGCTGGTTATGGAAGAAGCTATCCTTAATAACCTTCAAGCCTGATAATATATGACTAGCTATATAGTAAGACCAGTAGTGTCAGTGTTAAAACCTAAGTCACATGAGACCTACCATCATTAGAATCATAATATCCTTCCTAGATTACATACTACATTAAAGTTTCTCTTAACTTAACTCAATACCAATAATTGTTTCCTTCCAAATGCCAGTAGGAACATTGGGGCAGGGTGAATTTCTGTTGGTCTGTTACAGTAAGTATTACAGGTCTAAGGGGAAATGTTTCCCCAATTCAAGTGTTGCAGCTCTAAGGGAAAATGTTTCCCCAATTCAAGTGTTACAGCTCTGATGGAAAAAGCATCATGGTGGTTGGGAGCCAAGGAATTCCACAAAGTCAGTCCATACAACAAACCTCACACAAGATTTATTGAGAAAATACAAGAGGCTAGCATCCTCTGTTTAGGAGGGAAGCAATGAGGAACTAAAAGGGAGGTAGGGTTTACATAGGGTTTCTTGGGGGGGCAGAGATTTAGATTTGCAAGGTGGAATTTAAAGTTCTGAGCTTGGGGCAAGCCCAGGGATTGTTAGGATTTTGAATTCAGGGACTGGTGGGTTTTCAAAGCCCAGATGTGAGCTCAGACTTTTTACCCTACACATAGAGTCTTCTAATATGCAGTGATCCCTAGTTTATCATGAAGAAATGGAAGAAACACTCTCATTGCAAGTTAGTGTGAGGCCTAATGAGAACCAAATCATCCAAGCTGCACTGAGGCTTCAGTTTTTATTCAAGGCATGAACTGCCAAGTTGTCTCCAAGTGGAGGGAGGTAGAACAACCCCACAAAATGGGAGTTTGGAGTTTTATAGGATGGTCTTAGTTGTGTGAGAAAGTATCATGTGAAAAGAAACTGCTGTGAGCAAAAAAAATTTGTGGGGGACTTCTGGTCATTAGGATAGCAGGATATGAACAAGGGGACTTTTGTTAAGAAAACAGGATGTTGTAGTTAAGCTGTTCTGCTGAGATAAGGGTTCAGATGACTTCTGAGATGTACAGAACCTTCAGTTTCCATTTCTCCTGAAGGGGACAGGACCCACCAGATCATTCATCATGTGTGTTCAGCAAGTCCATCTTGGGCTAGCCTTACGGTCAGCATTGTGACAAAACTTTTCCTGGTGAGATGCAACACACATATCTACTAAACCCAGAGAGGGAGTACATAACAGACCAAAGTACAGATACCACCAAAGTCCAACTTGGAGAACCAATGAGTTTTATTGGAGTTACTTATAAGGAGCCAAAATGACTCAGGCACCTACATCTCCAAAAACCCACCACAGCACAGGTGACAACTCACAAAAACTAGGAATCTGGGAAAGCACGCTGCACAGCCTGTAAGCAATTCCACAGATTGAGTATCTCAAGTGATTCATTTGGTCTAAACCTCCTCCAGGTAGTCCAAGTGGTTTCTGATTCTAACAGGCAGCTGGTCTGGTCTTAGGGTCTTCTTTGCAGCCTAGCTGGTCTGAGCCAGTCTTCTTTTAAGTTTTATTGCTTACTCTGAGAGGGAGGAGCCTAGTGAATCTGGTCAATTTCAGGAACTTCCTAAAGCTATTTTGAGCTATTTACCTTCCTGCTTAAGGAGCTTCCCTGCAGGGTAGAATGTTTCGATCTCAGAAGAAACTGTTACACAACAGGCAGGCAGCAACAGAATTAAAGTTTAAGGTGGTTTATCTATTCTTTATTTCCTTAACCAAAACCTATTATAGTAGATCCAGATTATATCAAAACACAACTGCTGAAAGAAACCTGTTGATAGCTGGGAGATATTTTATATCCATTTGCTTTCCTCAAATAGGTGCTAGTACTACTGTTGTCCGTCACCACCCCCCAAAATAAAAATGCCTTTTGGGGCTGGGGATATAGCTCAATTGGTAGAGTATTTGGTAATGTGTACAAGGCCCTGGGTTTGACCCCCAGCACTGCATAAACCAGAGGTAATGATACAAACCTATATACCCAGCACTCAGGTGAACTCAGGAGGATCAGGAGTTCAAGGTCATCCTCAGCTATGTGTGACCTATCTCAAAAAAAAGATGCCTTTGTAAGACTATGGTATCATTATAAGAAATCTGAAAATTTGTTCTGTTTTCGATAGCTCTTCTATCATCTAGAGCAGTAGGTTTTCTTACAATAGGCATTACGTTCTTTAATTGCTATGGGAAGAGTCTCCTCCACAGTGGCAGGAAATCACTGAAATGAAGTTGGCATAGGGTTTTGCATAGGGGATTGCAAGAGGCCCCTCAAGATGTTTACCAGTGGCAAAGAATTGCCTTGATAATCTCTTGTTGAGGTACATTTCTTAGTCCAATGCCTGTCTTTGCCATGCCTTCTGCATAATCCAGAAGTGAGGGGCACTATGACTGGATTGTATTTATTAAAGAATTGTTTCTGTAAACACCCTATTTACAATCCCTTTTCAAGTGACGCTGTTTGCCACAATTAAAAAATTTGACATTTTGCTTTTTCTTTAAACCTCTTGAAGTCACCTCTCATATCCATATATCATCATCATGGTCATGAGCTTCTATATTAATTGTATCTCTGATCCAATCCTCCAAAGGTGCTGTCCTTGCTTTTAAAGGCCTAATTATCCTTTTGCATTGGGCATTAGCATTTTCAGAAGCCATAGTTTCAATTATTATTTTTCTAGCTTCTGTGTCTGATATCATTCTGTTTACTGTTGATGACAGTCTTTGTAAGAAATCCATGGATGATTCCTTTGGGCCCTGTATAACTTTTGTAAATGATTCAATTTTCTTTCCTGCTTCTCCAGTTCTTTACCAAGCATTCAAAGCTGCTGCACAGCATAAACCCAAGAGGTGATCACCATATAAACATTGCCTTTCTAAAGTAGTATAATCTTCTCCAAGAATTTGATCTTGAGAAATAGTCATCCATCTTGCTTTAGCCTTTTGTTCAATATTCTTAGCCTTGTCTCTGAACCAGGAAGTCCATTGTAATTGTGGTCCAGGCTCTAGGAAAGCTTTACTCAAATCTATCTAGGCTATAGGAATCACTCTATTACAAACTGACTTCGTGTTTTTCACCTGCTTCACAAATGATGAATGCATGCCATATGAGACTACAGCTTCCTTGAATTTCCCTAGGTCTAATATTGTCGCAGGCTTCCAAGTAGCTCTTATGGAACCTCTTTCATTTGGCACTTCCTGTAAGGTTACTGGATATATGAAAGTTGGTTAAAGTGTTCCTTTTTAACCTGAAAATGCAATGCTGAACTTGTTTCTCCATGTAATTCCTCAGTCTGTGTTTGAATATCTCTATAATCTTTAATAAGTTTTTCTAAGGCCTGCCTGCATCTTAGCACTAATATCAACCAACTTTTTTCAGAGATAAACCAAGAATTATCAAACCGACAAAGACTATCAAAATGATAATTAACAGTATGCCAATCTTGATTAAGTTGATCATCCCTTCTTTTAATTGTTCCATTTTTAAATCATGCATTGTATAATCAGAGACCTAACTCTCTCTTTTGTAATTATGTTTCCCATTTTTAATGTAGGAAAAACTCTTCTCTTTTAACTAATTCATTCCTTTAAGAGTTCCCAATTAACTTACCAAGTCTGCCAACAGTGTCACTGAACTGTGAGGTATAGCACATCACAATCTGAGAACTAGCTTGTGACTGTGAGCTAGGAGTGTCAGCCCAAGGAGAGGGGATGTAAGGAAAGCCTAAGCCTCCTAAGATTGGGTGACAGCTGAAGACTTTAGAAAAGCTACAACAAAAAACTCCCACACTTGCTCAAAGATTTGAGAAGAAAACCTAGCCGGTAGGGCAGGGACTCAGGCAGGAGTCAGGCTTGGGCATGGGCTGGTAGTCTCAAAGCAGCTTTTTCATGAATTCGTACTTTAATGTTGGGTGCCAATTGTAGTACAAATAATAAAAGACCCAGAGACAGATATTGGGGTTCAAGCTTCAAGCTGAAGATCAGAGAAGCAAAGCAGCCAAGCTAGTATATCTTAACTCTACACAGCTGAAATGGCAATCCTGTCTCCACAAATCCT